AGCGCTGCTGCGCCTTCCCGCTGCGCGGCAACGAGCTGTGCGTGTGGAGCGCGCCGGGCGGCGAGGTGAGCGCGGGGGCGGCGCGGCAAGGGCGGCGCGGGGGGCTCCGCTAACGGCGCCGTGCGCCCCGGCAGCCGCTGCGCCTGCGCGGACACGAGCTCGCCGTGACCGCGCTCTCCTTCGGCAGCCGCGCCGGGCCGCGCCTCCTGTGCTCGGCGTCCCGCGACGCCGTGCGCGTGTGGAGCCTCGCGCAAGGTAGGCACGTCCGCCGGGGCGCGCCGCGAGCTCCGCGGCGCCGGGGTGGCGGGGGGGGTCCCGTGCTCCGGCACTGCGGAAAGGTTCCCCTCCGATGGATGCAGTTGGAGACTTACCTGTGACTCGAGGCATAACGTTTTGCCCTCTCTCCGTGCTAAMTTTGCAGGCTTGCACATCACGAAATGGAGTGTTGCAGAGAAATGTAGACCTTTAAAGTGCTTTTGTAGTTGCCGTAATTGCACTTTAATCCATACGTGTATAGCAGAGAGATGTGAAGAATGATTCAGGGAGTGGGCAYAGAATCAGGCCATAGTTTTGTGAGAAACAGAAATAGAACAAAACAGACTGCTAATGGCATGTGGAATTTTAATACAATTGTGTTTGACAGCCTGATTCAATACTGCTGAATTTCCTTCTCTCCCTTCCTCTGTGCAGCYGCAGGCTCTTTGGCCCAAGGCCTACGGTTTGTCTGTAAGAAGAGGGATGAGATGATGATTGCTTGATTTTTTTTTGAATGCATGTGGTGAATAACTTACAGGAATAAACTTTGTAACTTTCCAGTTTCCTCCAGTATGATCAAACATGTAATGTGTTCTGTTTTGGCACTGCTGTATTTAATTCCAGTTAGTGTTGGAGTACTCAAAATTCTTTCTGGAAAATTTGGATAAATTAATTTATTCTAAAGATTCTCCGGAAAATCCATCTTTCTAATGAAGAAATAGTAAATTTGAAGATAAGAAGACATCATCAATGTGTGAGGAAAAAATAACAAGTTTGTTCTAAAGTAAAAGATGAGCTGCTGTAATAGTCTTTCAGGAACTAAATTTGTAAATTTCAAATTTTCATTTGAAAGCTGTTATGGTGCCTGAAATAATATTTTTGTTGCATAATAATAACATAAAAATTGCTTCAGGGGTAGTGCCTCGAGGAATTGTTATAGGAACATTTTTGGGAACGGTGCTTCATGTGAGATTTAGYCCAGATGATCAACAAGTGGCAGTATGTGCTGAAAAGCGGATTTACATGCTAAGTGCAAAGGTGAGAATTGTCCTTTGGATTCACAGTGCTGAAGTCTATCTTTAACTTGTTCACTTTCATATAAAATTATTGGATAGAATATTTTGCTTAATTATTTACTTAATTATTTCTTGCACAGATGAAAGTGAGTTTGAACAAATGCTTGATAATGTAACGTATATCAGATAAAGGACTATTAAAAAGTTGAAGTGGTAAAATATCACAATAAGGTATAACTAGAGAACCTTGTGGGGACATCTGAAAAATTTCTCCTCCATTGTGCAATGTATATAGTGTTTTTGCCAGCAGAATGATGCTCAGAACTGCAACTGGCTTTAAAAAATATTATTGAATATTTTGATATGATGAACCCAAATGTGAATTTATTTTCAAAAATATTCACCAATTATTAAAAAGATGGTCACTTTTAGCTTGAATTCTGATCTGTTTTTGCTTTGACCCTTCAAATAACAGAGTAATGCTGTACTAGCTGAATTGGAAGGCCACCTAGCTCCAGTTACTGCTGCTGAGTTCTGCACATGGGAGAATAATATGCTGATATCGGTTTCTGAAGACAGAAGCTTTAAGGCAAGGAAATTGTAGAGGAGGCCCTTTTAAGATAAAGAACTTAGTGCAATCTTGAAATAATTTTTTTCTTTAATTCCTTTTAAGTATCTAATGAAGGTTAAGCAAAAAGATCTTCGTTTATAGAGATTAGGAGATTGTTCTTATTGGAGTTGGAAAAGGATTTATTCTTAATAGAGTAGGAAAAAAAAAGACTAATTGAACCGTGGTGTGTTTTCCAAGTGATCCTGARGTGCAACATTCAGTTCTACAACCTAAAGTAAAACTCAAGTTTGCTGTTTTAAAAATCAAATATATTTTTAGATACAAGTTTAATGGCAGTCTTTGTTCTTGAAAAATGTTACTTTTTTTCTTCATGTTGGACAAAAATAAGAAAATTAAATTGGAATTCTATGAAGTATTCTGGCTTTCTGATTATATTGTTTAATTTATGTTGATCAGAATTAAAGCAAGATAAAAATGTCAGTAGGAAAAAGTCAGTATACTTTTTCTTACTCATTTAAAGAGATCACAGAATCACACAAAATTCTAATGAGTAAGATTTCTTTTTTTTTAATCAAGGCAAGAAGTGGGAATAAAATTATGATCAAATCAAAGTAAAATGTGTATCAGTCAAATAAAGTAGCAAATGAGTCTTTGTCGTTTCTTTGCCCTCTCTTATTCAGCCATGCTGTTGTCACACAAGCTGGCTGCTCTAATTGCCAGAGATGTAGCCTCTAAAAACTGCTTATGCTACCCCCAGCACTTTAATTAGGCTAAAAAAAGTGAAGCRGGGGAAAAATCTCTTAGGAAGAAGCTGCTTTGAAGAAAGACTTTCACATTCAGAAGCAAATGAAATATGAACTAGGGGAAAAGATCAAAAACTGTACAGAGACTCACAGCCATGTACAGAGAGAAGGGACTGTCTGGCTGTCCTTTCAAGCCATGCTGGATAGCTCTGATGTATAGTAGAAGAAGTTTTGAAGTAGAAGGCTTTTAGAAGGGGCAGCATGAGAGGAAATGGATTTTTATTAGCTTTTTAAATCAACTATTAAGCACAGAATAAATCACTTAGAAACAGTGATGTTAATAATAAAAGTTGATGGATACATGAATCCATAGATCAAAGTATTATAATTACTAATAAAGACCTCCTATTTTTTAGCCCAGAATGAAAATTGTGAATTGATGTAAGCTCCCTGTGTGAAATCTAGAACTATTTTAAATGTCTTTATATTGATTTAGCTTAAATCTTGAAGAGATCAGCCTAAGCAAAGATGATAAAGTACTAAGTACTTTGTTTATTAATACCAGATGGGTGTCACCCATAATTTAAGCAATATCATAATTAGAAGAATTAAAAAAAAWGTAAAAATCCATATAGTACTGCTTTACTTTTAATGGCTGCATTTAGTAGTTTTTGCTGCTTGATTTTGTTTGTATTTTTTCCTAAAGATCTAATAAGTGCCTGTCACTACATACAATTTTTTTTTTCTTCTCTCTRAAGATTTGGGACTATGCTACTGGGCTGTTAATATATCAATCAGCAGTATTAACAGGTAAATTTTCTTTTTATACTCTTTTCATAGAAATCTCTCCTTAATAAAACAAATTTTTTATAACTGTGTTTAGCCAATAAAGGGCATCAGTGTCCAAGGTATCGAAACTGAAGTCAAGGATGAATATATTATCCTTTAAAATATGTACTTGTGTAAACAGTTACAATGTACTTTTATAAATAGCTCTTCTTTTGGTACAGGATATGCATATAACTTGTTGACTTTTGTTGAGATATGCAGAAAGGAGCTCGTTTTGTAGCTAGAGTTCTACTCTGCACACACTCTCTGCTTGTTTTTTTTCCAAGTTTTTTATATGACACGGAAGGACAAACTGTAAGTGTAACATATGTGGGCTTATTAGCAAGCCTGTAGATGATAGAAGTTGTCTCTGATTTTGAAGCAGGGAAAAGCTGCCACAGCAGCTGTGAAAATCAYTTCCGTGGCAACTTGGGCAAATGTCAGCCTGCCAAATTGCAATTGAAAGACCTTTAGCCTTTCAATTAGCCTACAAAAGCTAAAGCAACAAAATGAGATGTTGCAATTTGGAATTATGTGTTTTAATAAAACATGCTTTGTGTCTACTCTGAAAATAATAGCATCTTTCTTGAAGCAGCATTTCCTTTGTTAAGTCTGCTAATTGATGAAGAAAATAAACAGATTATCACTGGATGTGCTGATGGAGAGGTAAGAATTACCAAGGAAACTTTTTTTGCTCTAGTAAAAGAGTCAAGTTATTGTTTTACTGTCAACTGTTACAAACATTAGCTTAGTAAGCGTGATTCACTATTTTTAGTCTTAGTCATATATGGTACAGAAGACTGCCTTATTACAAATTGGAAACTTTTTTTTTTTTTTAATCAGAAATGTTTTTAAGACCATAGTAACTAGATAAGATATGTATGTGCACTGAGAGGCTATAAGTAGATGTTTTTAAAAAGAAAAAAAATATGTAAAAATAGAGTTCTTCTGTTTAGGTCATGGAAGGAAACCCATGACAATGAATGGGAAGGATTCTGATTTCACTGTACTGGAAATCTTAGCAATCTGTGAAAAATGYGAATATGAATTTCAGCTCCTCTTCAATTTTAACTTTAGAAATATATCTAAATGAATTTTTCTTATAGTATTTAATGAGCATTTTTCTTCAGTGTTATGGTTTAATGGGTTGTGAAGAAAATTGAAAATTTAACTTTATGCTTAAAAAAAAAGTATAAATTAATATATATAACTCAGTAAACATTTATTTGCAAATTGCCAGTGATTTTTTTGTTATAGGAAGTAGCCTATGAGAATCTTTTTTTCAAAAACACAAATATGAAAATTTGACAATTCTCATCTAATACTGTCAGTTACACAGTTCAGATAATAGCTTCCTTTGCCAATGGTGGAATCATTCTTTGGTACTGTTAAAATATAAGTACATATAATTAAACCTATGATGCAGTATGAAATTATAGATAAAAACATTCTATAGTTTAAAAACATTTAATACCAAATTTTGAGTTTATATTCCTCTTCTATGTAAATGGTATGTCTGATGTCAAAAGGTTGTTGTAATTACTTCTGTCTTTTTCTTTCAGCTTTGGGTTTTCAGTTTGCTCAGTGATCATAATTACCGTTGTGTGACACGTATCAACTTAAAGAAAGAACAAGAGAAATTCTATAATAAAATGGGAAAATCTGGACAGGAATTAGGTAGGATAGCACTTGCAGAATGCTGTTTGTGGTATATGTTTAGTTCTTGCAGCTTACTGAATCTGTGTTTTTCATATCGTGAGAATTTGTTGTAAATGACAAATTTCTTGACAAAAGTGACCAACAGTCTGTTGCTGGATTCTTACTGAAGCTGCTAGAAAGCTGATGTGTAAATTGGTTTATCTGGGAAGGATTATTTATATGTGTCTTGAAGAACATCTCAGCCTATGCATACACTTAAAAAACATTAGATGTCCACCATTAAGTTTATAGTCTTTATTGAAATAATTGCCCAAGAATACAATGAGAACAGAACTGGTCCCTCAAAATTCATCCATTGTCCTAGTGGAATTGCTTAGTGGAACTTGGAAACTCCTAGGAGTCGGTTGATATTGTTGCATACTTTACATCCAGGCCTTCTTAGAGGCAAACAAGAGAGCTTGTGTTCTTTAGAGAAGATCTAGTTTCCCTTGGTTGCTCTTTTCTGGGCTTGTAACTGTTGTATTCTTAGCTGCACAGTGGCCTAGCTACAATAGGATAAAGAGAAAATCTATATATCTGTTTATTAAAATATGGCTGTCACTTTCGTCTTTGAATTTTTAAAAGAATGATGTGGTGTCTGTGTCTAATACTTAATTTGGTGCTAGTGCTTTGCTTCCTAGATGTGAACTGGGTATGGATGGTGGGTTAGAAATTTCTAGGGAATGTAAGGTTGAGATACCTTTGCATCTTGGTTTTGGTTTATGTTACCAAACATCAAGGGATTTTTCAGGCTGAACAAAAAGCTGAAAGTGAAATTTATGACTTATAGAAATATGACTTTTTAAGCCATTTTTGTGTGGCCACCACCTAAATTCTGCCAAATTCTTTTGAGTCTCTGTCTAGACTCTCTGTGTTTTATCTTTAGGTAATTGAAAGAAGACAATACTAAGAAGAACAAAATAATGAGGAAAAGTATTTCAAGAGTGCTGACTCTTAGCATATTCCAAACCTTTGAAGCAGACATCTTGAATGTGATCTTTCTTCCAGCTACTTGTCTATATTACTTCTTTGAATTAATGTTTTCTCTAATTATTTTTTGATAACTCTTGTTGATCATCTTTCGTAGATGAGGGGCAAAGTACTTCTCAGCTGGGTAAAACAAACAGTATGAGACCAGAAGAAACAGTGGAAACAACACTGCCTGTTCTCACAATTGAACACTATGACCGTTCAGTATTTTTCCATAAAAAGGAAAACTTGTAAGTCCTCTAAAATACCACCAACAATTTGACTGGAATCTATTCTTATCAGTTCCTATAGATTCTTAGTTTATTTCMAGTGCAGTTTACTTATATCTCAAAATGCAATAGGAGAATTGGAGAAATGTGTTCAGTGTTCTACAAGTTTTTGTGACCTACTCTTAAGTAATATACACAACCTGATAGAAAATTAAAAATGACTTCTAGTCTGAAAAGTAATTTTGTAAAATAGCATTGGATTGTCTGTTTATTAGTATCTTTCGRTATCAGTTGATCAGGTGTAATCATTTTAAAAATAAAGCCAGTTAGAGTTGAAAATCTGAATTTGTTTTTTAGTTTGTTTTCTTAAGGAAACAAATCTGAAGTAGTCACTGTGTGTAAGCATCACTTTGTCCCCCAGTCTTAGAAAACTTTAACTTGGTAGCCAAACTTGTTCTAGCCAAACTGACAGACACACAGATGTTTCAAAGRTGTGAAGCTTCTGCTCTCCGTTATGGGACTGGATGGCCAGGTACAGATGCCTAAATTAGTCTTTGTATCACTGCCCTTTCTGAAACAGAAATTTAACCATTTAGCTAGAAATCTGGTACGGGATACTACAGCAAGAACCGAGTCTCACAAAACAATTGATTGGGTTTTGTTGTTTGTAGTTACCACTCAGCCAAGTCATATGATAAGAAACACTTGTTCCACTCTTTGCCTCCTGTGGATTGTACAGGTATAACTGATTAATTTTATAGTTGGATTTTTTGAATAAACAGAGAAGAGATATCCAGCTGTCCTTGATTATTTTGTTTGCTCGTTAGGTGTAACTGAAGTAATTACTAACAGTTATTTTCATGCTGCCTGCATTTTCAGGAAGAATATCAGTGAGAGAAAGAAAGAAAAAAAAAACTTTCTCTGCTGTTCTGGAATTGTCATGAACATTTATATAAAATGAAGAATTCCACTCTTCTTAGATTTTAAAACTGTACAGAGTTCTGTGTGATAGTTTTTAATTTGAACTACACATTTAAAAGTCTTACTATACAAAAACCCTTTTCTGTTTTGGCTTGTTATTTTTGTGGTATTGGAGTTAGATTGCAGATATTTAATAGGAAGGAGTTGCTAGGAAATAATATTTATAGTAATCAAATAGTCAAATACATTGTTTAAACTTTTTTCCTCCTAGGATTCCAGCCCTAAATACTAGTTATTTATGCATAGGAAGCTCTACAGGCTTGTTAATAATGAATTCGGCAAACTTTGAATTAGAAGCTCTTTTATGTTACAAAGGTATGGTCATAAAATATTTGACTACACTGGAACATGATTTTTTTTTTCTTTGCTATCTGATATGCATAGTGTAAAAAGTAGTTTATTAAATAGTAGAATACTGTAGAAATAAAACCTTTTCCCTTTTAAACTTTTTCCCCTCCCCTTCCCTCCCCTCCCCATTTCATGTTTTCATGTCTTCCGGCATTGGTAGCTTGTCTCAGAAGATGAGCCAACTCTAATTTCTCTGCTGGCTAGTAGTGAATTTTTATCCAATTTTGTTACTTATGAATATGAAATACAAGGACTGACATTCTAGTTTTACTTTACTGTGGGGATTAATCTAGGATATGCTTTGAAGACAGTGGAATTATGGTGGTTTCAAATTAGTGAGAAGATTTTTTTTCTTGTTTTATAGTAGCTCTTTTTCAATGTAAATACTTATATACTTTTTGTTAAAGATTATAGTGGCCTCAGTATTCAATTTGCTGGATTGTGTACCCTAGCAAAGAAGGCAGTTAATGGAAAGGTGCGTATTCAGTTTGCATACTAGTTTAATGGCTGTTTACATTTTCAGTTACTTTCAGTATTGCTACGCATTTTGTGTTTACAGAGTAATGTACATTTATTTTGTCTCATGAGAATTACACGAAAGTTTTTCTGGAGAAGGCTGATTCTTTATGAAATACCTTAGTTTTAACAAATGTGTAGTTCTAAATGCCTCACAACTTATCTATTATCAGATATGATTACCAATAAAAGATTAATTGTTTTTCATTGTGTTTGGAGTGCTGGGAATAATCAGTGTGGGAACAGATTCACTCTTAAGAGGGGGAAAAACCGTATAAACATTGTTTTAGCTTGCTACTTAAGCATCGATCAGGATGAAGTGCTTTTGGATCTTTTCCAGAAATCTGTGAAAGCTTTTTGAGTTGTGAGAATTTGTATGGAAAGTCACAAGTCACCAAGGAACTTTTGAGGAAAGGGAATGTTGAATGTATCTGTTGTAGAAGATGTTGGGATTTCTGTGGGTTGTGGGTTTCTTTTGTTTTTGGTTTTTTTTTTTTCTTGTTTTGTTCATTTGTTTTTTGTTAGGTGTACAAGCCTATTCAGAAATGTACTTAAACATAAGTGTGTGTTTGGAGGACATCATTATCCACTTTTTACTGTTTAATGCTCTGCAGCATTAAACCTGGATGTATTTTGATATTTTGATTTTTTTTTTTTTTTAGTAATTTCCATAAATGACACAAAGTGATTTCATTGTCCTAGTGCTTTGCTGATACTTGAACTTGATTTTGAAGTCAGAGGAGTGTTATCTTGTGGTGTGATTGCTGCAGGTTTTATGTTTGATCTCTTCAATGTTTGAAGATATGATTGCAGTGTTGGAGGTTAACCTTGCTGAATTGGTGAGATCTCAGCAGAATAGTTTTCTCACATGTGGAAAAGAGAAGACTCTCTCAGTTATTGCCAGGTACATAATAATTTACTTTTATTTTTTCTTCTGAGAATGGGATTATATATTTCAGTGTCAGAAAGATAAATACATGAGAATTTTGTCCAGCTGTGTTTAKTGATGCTGTTGTTTTATTTGTTTTGTTGTCACTGAAAAATATTTTAGTTGCAATTTCTGGGAGAAATTTTGAGGTAACTGAAAARCTTAATCTATAGCAAAGGGAAGATACTACTGTGCATAATATAATCACCAGTCAGTATGCTGAAAGACAAGATCTTAACTTGTACTTACAGTGATCAGTGAATCTTGTCTGAGTAGAGGCTTCTCTGTGCTTTTAAGTTGATGCACTGTGCCTCTTTCATATTCATGGAAAGACTAAGCATGCAGACGCATGTGCGCATTCGCAGTCATGCACACAAGTAACTAGAAAAGAAGATAAGACAACTTTTTCTAATCTGAAGCTTTGGTCCATTGCAGTGTGTGGGGTTTTTTTTTTTTTTTTTCTGTTCCTTTTTTGTTTTTGTTTTGTTTTCTTCATTTTATACTTAGGTGTCCTTTGTTGCCAAAATCTCCCCTGCATAAGGTTTTTAAAGTCAAGGAACCTTCTAGTAGAACACTTGGTAAGCATAAAACAGTGTATTCTTTTAATAACAGTAACTGACTCAAACTGGCTCATGCCACCTTTAATCAACATGCTGGTTATAGAGTCAAATTATGTGTTGCATTATATTTTTTATTTTTATAGTTTATTAACTTGTGTTTTTGAGCATTTGGGCTCATTAAGCAAATTCATCAAAGATCACATAATATTTTACTGTGCCTTACTCTCTCTTCCGACTGGTAGCTGTGTATTGTTCACTTAGACTGATTATGGAGAAGTTTTATGATGATGTATCACCAAATACTAGGTTGGTGAAAGACAAAATAAGAAAAGGAATTTTAAGATTTGCTCTTGTGTTGCCGACGGGGGTTGGCAAGCCTCGTTCGCTAGCTGGACTGACCTGGGGTTGTCRTCACCCCGGGGCCCTAGAGCACAGACACCAATGTTGGGGATGYGGCAAAATGGCRTTTATTGCGCGGTTCAGTCTGCCTATATACTCCAGTTGAATGCGGAGACTCGCCCACTGCCCAATCGGGAGACTAATTTCTATTTTTCGSCTTTTATGGCATGGGGTTATCAGTAAACTGCATAAATTAATTATGCTCCTAACTCCCGTGACATCGCRAGATCTTCCGAGCGCCATGCTCTRTGCCCTGTTCTGTACTACATCATCTACTTTCGCTAAGCTCTCTACCTTATTAAGCCCTAAAAGCACAAAAAAMTYCTATACTCTTGGAAAATTGTTCTAGAGAGGTGGCAGTTAAGCATTTTACACCAAATATTCCCTGCCAGATTTATTTCTAAGGTTGGAGTAAAGAAATAACTATCACTGGTTTTTTTTTAATGAGTACCAYAGAACACATAGAACTAATATATAAACATGCTATTTTTAATCAGGAATTTACCATATGCTTCATTATTTGTCCCCCAGATAGCCAATATGCAAAACAGCGGTTCATATGTTTTTGTCTCTTTTCATTAACCATTGCTTTAGAGTAGTTAGTCTTTAATGCCTTTTGAAACACTAGGAGACAGCAACTATTGTAGTAATTTAAAATATTTTATCATATTTTGCAAAAATAAAAAACACTGTAATGAAAAWCAAATTATTTTGCTACAGGAGTGAAAAGCATGGTGAAAGACCGACCACTGGTTTTCCATAGGAAAATTAAGTCATCAGGCTATGCAACAGCACCACAGTGAGTAGATACAGTACTAATGTAACTATTCTACTGGATTAGTACTATGCAGTATTTCCTTTCTTATCACATAATAAATACAATGTTGCCATATTTAAATGGGGATAAATTTCATGGGAATGACCTGTAAAAAAAATAAAAAATAAAAATAAATAAATATGATGTTATGAAACAAAATCTGTTAAAAATGTGTTGAAGAAAAATCTATGATTTCTGATTGGTGTTAGTGTTCTGTTACTTGTCTTGAAAATTCTTATATACATTTGCACTATGTCTTTACCCAAGCACTTTGTCCCTTGAACTCAATTAACTCTTTCCCTTGCTTTATTCATACTCAGATTGTCACAGATAGAAGTGTGCCTTTTATTTTCTCTYAGACAACAACTGAGAGGGAGCATGTTAAAATACTCAGCTGTACAAATTCTCTTATTTACTGATGTGGTCTTACCTTTGAGATAAGCTTTCTGTAGCTTTCCTTGTCTTGCCTGACAGCTTGCCAAAGTTTCTCTTGGGATGGAGAGCTCATTCAGATAAAATGAGCAATGTGATGCCAATAGTCCTCCGAGAAGCTTAGGGTGATTCCCTGACAAGGCATTTTATTTTAGCAGAGACTGTGATAGACCATACTATCTTTGTGTATTTTATTTATTACATCTTTTTTTACTGTGTTTATCACATCTCATACAATAGCTTGCCCCATTCTATTTATGAACTTATCCTTTTGCTTTTGATGGAGATGGGTGTTGGAACTGAGACCTTGAGAACCAGTTCTTACCTACCAGTAATACGCTTCCTGAGTACCTTGAAAGTGATCTGATGAAAGGGTTGTTTACATGAAAYGGTTGCTAGTGGAGGCTGTGATTTTTATATTCTGAGAAGAACCTTTTWCAACTGGGACATCTCAAAGTAGATCTAATCATTTTGAAGTTACGGACCTTTTATCCTTGGGGCATACAATTCTTAAATGTTAGATGTGTTCCTGAATCTGAGAACAGACACAACTTCTCTCCAGYTCCTCTATTCCTTAAAGCCTTGGGTGGAATAAGATACACCTGAGCACTGAACTCCCTTAGGTCCAAAAAGGTCTACACATTTTACCCCTTACTCTGAGATAGAGTTCCTTGGTTTTCACAAACCCAGTAGATAAACTTTTTTTAACATGACTGATATATTCTCATAACCCAAAAATCAAAAAATTACAATGGAAACTGAGCCTCATTTAAGGACACTTAAGAACTTCCACTCTGCTGTGTCTTGGTTCTTATTTTACTTGTTGGGTTAAGTTAGTTGTTGGTTGTGATTGTTTCTGCTAGGACAATGAAATAGTTTTGGCCTCTTTATTAATCCCTCCCTACACAGTGCTGCTGTTGGAACATCYCAGATTCCTTTCTAACATGCTCTGAAACTTCACCTCAACCAAAAAAAAAAAATCACCTGTTTTCACCAGTCCTCATACCTGTAGAGACAAAGACTCCTTTAAAAACTGACAAGATCAAGCACTGTGGAAGGTTGCTCCTGAGTTTGTTTCTACCCAAGAGATCTGTAAAAGCCTCAAGGAGTAGGCAAAAGATGTTGCAATGGAACATGGGTGTTGTAAAAAATCTGACAGGAGATCTTCAAGATAGAATAACTTTGACCCTTTAAGTGACCTCCATACCTTACAACGTCTTGCAGACGCCATACTAAGAAATATCTCCATTTTTGATATATGTTGTTCTGCGGCTGATAAGATATTTAGGACTATATCTGTTGCATGTGTCAGATTTTTTCATTAAATGTGACTGAAAAAGCTAGGATAATTCCACCTAAATATAGAAATATCGTCTGGAGTGGGAGGGAAGTGGGAAGYCTGTTATGATTAGTCCATTTACTTGGTTCTCAAAGTAATAATTCTTATAAATTGATACTGCTATATGAGGAAGTTGTCCTGCACTTGCTGGCTTTGTATTTTTTTTTAACTCAAAACTTGCTTTCCACTTTCAGTTGTGTAAATCTTATTTCAAAAATTGTATTAGGTGTTCTATCTCCTATATAGGATGAAATTCTTCTTTTTCAGTTTTTGGAAGTAAATATTGGATAAATTATATGGAGGGATTTTGACTTGCAAAATGCAGTATATGACAACTGGATCACAGGAGAACTTAACTGCGAAATGGAGACTTAGATCATTAGAAAGTTTTCATGTCATCATTGACTATGTGTATTATCTTACCTGCTGGCGTTGTTAGTAAATATAAATATTAAGAAGGAAGTAGGCTTGTTTGCCGTTTGAAATAAAATATTCGTCTCATGGGGCATTTAATGCTTTAAACAGGAGAATCCATGTTCCTTTTTTGCAGAATGACCATGTTTTCTCCAGTTACTAACCTGAAGAAAAGTAATGAGGTACCAAAGTGGAAAACCATCTGTAAATGGTAGATAATCCAAGAGGAAAATAAAATGAGGATAAGTACAGTCTTAAAGTAGATAAGATTAGTAGTTGCTTCTATTATTGCTTCTTTTTGCTTAGGAGTATCAGTGGAAATGAAAGACCATGTAGATTTACTATAAAATAAYTGCAGCCAATGATTCAGATCACCAAACTATCAATTAAAGCTGATTCCATGTGTACAAGAAAATACTAACTTGTTAATTTCTTAGAGGTTTGTATAATTTTTAGAAGCAGTAAGTGCTAAGTATGATTGGAACATATTCTCAAAATAGAGTTAGTGTGCAATTTTAGTCACAAAAATTAGCAGGGCACAGAAAGGCTCTGTCATTTAAGATCCTGTTCCTAAATCACCCCTAAAATCATGTATCTTAAGCTAATGCAACCTTTCTGTAGATAATAAATTTAAATGAAGTACGCAAAATGATTCTGTTACACCAGTGAAATTATTATCACAGTAGAGAAAAGGAACTGTTGATTTTTAGGAGTTTGCACTTTAGTGTTACTTGGTTAAAGTAAGCTATACTTTTTTATTTATTTGGTTTTACTTATTTATTTATTTGGTTAAAGTATGTTATAGTGTAGCATACCCATTTATTCTCTTAAGTACTATGTAGAATTTTTGTTCCACGTGAACAGTGTGTTGTAGTGCAAACATAAAAATAAGGAATGAATAATGCCATTTTATATATATATATATGTCACATATATCATATATTTCATATTAATGCTTCTAAAACACTTAATAGCATAAGACCAAGTTCTTATGTAAGAACTGTGTTGGACATTATTGACAGACACTTAGAGGAACGCTGCAGGTGATTTCAAGAATGGTTTGCACTGTATTGTGGTGGGTTAAGCAACTTATCACTTAAGTACTATTTTTTTAATAGCCTGTTAGATCATTAGTGTAACTGATATTTTTGCATAAGAGATTTTTCGTATTGTTTGTCACAGAAGATAGATTTTTCCATTCTTTATGTATGCAAGTTAAGATGTTTATCTTTTAAAAATCTATGTTAATTCATRATCTAATGAATTTGTAATGGTGATGGGAGCAATCAAGTATGACAGTTTTTAAATAGTTTACCACTTATCTTCCATTTAAAATATGTTTCCAAGGAAAATTTACATAAAACTATTTAGAATAACTTCCCAAACAACATTTATGAAATAAAAATATACAGATTTTATATCTCTTTCTTTTTCTCCTTTTTCCTTTTTTGAAGCAAAAATAAAGAATATCCAGTGGAAGGTTCTCCTCCAACCAAATATGAGAAAGAAATATCTGTTGCTTATAAACCAACCCCAATTTGTTGTGTTCAGTATTCTGGTACGTAGAGGCTTTATAAGATGTACTGTTGTCTCAGTGTACAGAAAGACAAAATCAAATGAGAGAATTTAACTACGTCACATATTTACTAAGTAAATTCACACTAAATTCCCTGGTTATACCATTTACAGTCTGATGATACTTTTTCAACTTGCAAAACCATGCAGGCTGTTAACTTGTATGCAAAAGGATTCTGATGTTGACTCTTTTTGCTTTCTGACCAACTTTCCTATTTTCCCAGCATGTCTTGAAAATTAATAGTCTAACAACTTCAAACTTCAGTTTATAAATTAAGTTTATTAGCATCRTCAGTATTAGTAAAAGTTGAAGTTCTATTTCAGAAGAATCAGAATATTCTCGTTTCTCATTTAAAGATTATTCAGTCTTTATCTATTAATTCTTTAAAAAATATACTTTTTTGAATATAATCCTGGGAAATATATTTTTCTAAAATACTTTGGAAACATGAGTCATGTACAAAGTTTATTCGTTCCTACTCCATACAGATATTTTCATATAGAAACAGCTTCAAAGTAAGTCAAATGGACACCAAGTGTACCCTTACTGATGTTAATATACAGTCTCCATAGCATGATATTTTCCAAATGTTTAAAAATGTGAATCTCAAGGTATTCTGCGGACAAGAATAGCTTTGATCTTCAAGAAATAAAATCAACTTGATTCCGAGCTTTTCTAAAGTATTTTCTAGCCATAAAATTTCCATATAGACCTAGAAGATGTTTCTTAAATCAACATTAAAAAAAAAAAAGGCAAAAAACTAAATGGTTACAGAAAGTGCATTTCTAAGAATGTTATGTGACCTTAAAAATATTCTTTTCAGCAACACTGCATTTTTGATGATATATTTTAAGCATAAATTTTCTCTCATGTACTCTAAGGAAGGTACATTTCATTCTCTTTCACTGTCTCGACAGAGATGTAAACAACCCACGTTTAGCAAAATGAAGTTTTTTTTTTCTTTAAAAAAAGGTTATTTTCATTAAGTAAAAAATCATATTGTTGCAAACTGTAAAGAAATGGTGTTTTTGTAGTGTGTGTTGCCAGATGGTTCCTAGCTTTACATTAACTTCTGTTGTAAATTTTCCACTTGAAATTAAGCATTGTCGAATGGTCTTTGTAAACTGCAGATCAGAATAATGTGTATGTGCATCTTTAAACGTAGTAGAAAGAAAAGTATATAGAAAGCTTAAGCAAATGAGATTAATTCTGCAGTGCAATTTTTACAATGTGTACCTTTTTGGATTTAATAAACGCCCTGTTGAAGTAGTGGAGGTGTTACGATTTTGCTCTGTAGAAAGGTTTCCCTAAGGATTTGAGATAGTAATCCATTTAGTAAGCCTCTCAAATGATAAGAAAAGTGATTTTTCTCACATTTGTAATGCCAAAGAAGGTTTATGTACWATTACTTATGTGTTTGGTCACTCACCTGTTATGTTTATTAATCAGGCCTCATGCTCAGCTGACAAGAAATTTATCTTATTTATGAAATTATCCAGAATGATTAATAGGCACTATTATTGTGATAGATATGAAAATGCAGTACAATTTTAACAGGAAAATTTACAGAAATTAATGAAAAACAGAAAGTAGATAATATGGGTGCTGAATATTTCTGCACTTCAGTTTTCAGGAACTTTTTGTAAAAAGTGAATTTCTGCTAAGTGATGAGTACCTATGAGAATATGTTAAGGGAAGAAGTACTGAGTACAGATTCCTACACAGCTTCGGAGAACAGTTTTTTTGTGGTATTCATGCAAAGAATGTGTTAAGTGAAATTAACATCTTGCTGTTTTTTGTTGTAGTAATGTACGACTTATGATTTAGAGCAAAAACATACTAAATCCTTTTTGCTTTCAAAAATAAATAAGAAGGGTCTCCTTCTAGGGGATGGAGAGCTGCTGGCTTGCGGCCTGGCTGACAAATCTGTGTTGGTATTTGATTCCAACCTTACTGATACAAGAGCTGTTTTTTCAGGTAAATTTATAAATTACCTTTTTAAATAATAGTGTATAATTATGAACTTAATCTATAATGACATACTAAGGAAAAATTCTACTTATGTCACCTTGGAAGGAAATGATTATTCTTCTCTTTCAGGATATAAAAGTTACTTCTCTGATTGATTCACTTTGTTCTGGACTTAACATTCTTTCCCGTTTTGCATGTTTCTCAGTTCCCTCGATGTTAAAAGATAGTAATGTATCACAAAGTATGTTGCAATGTGCATTGTTTTTGTGTGTAATGAAATATAAATTATAAAGGAAATATATTTCAATGATAATATACATTATATTAATACATTGTAATAGAGGATTAGCCAAAAATTTGACAATGGAATTGGTCAATAGTGCATTTGGGCTACAGCTTCAGACTTCTGAAGAATAATTATTTGACGTGAAAGAGACTATTCCTATAGAAACAGGAATAGAAAAGTGTACACATGCTCTAAATGTTTTAGCATTATAAATTAACATTTTTGTAAAAAAAAAAAGTTTCTACAAAACAATCTAGAGTAGTGCAAATAACAGTAAATGTTATGACTTATAAAAAGTCATATAGCAGGACTAATTTAATGCATTTTAATGCAAATGACTACTGTTTATGAATAGACCTTACGAAGTACAAAAAGAAAGTATTTACAACTATTAGAAACATTATTTTTAAGTAAAAAATCTGAAAGCTGGCTTCTGAAAAATTATTTTTCACAGAGTAATTTTCATTATACTGTGATTCTTTACATCTACATCTGCCACTGTGTATGACACTTCTGTATGAGAAAGTTGTCCCACACACTGCAATGTTAATGGACATCTTAAGTCTATAGTAGCCAGTTATGGAAAGCTGTGTTGTGATTCAAATTATCTCCATCAGTCTACAAATTCTACGATATAAGAAATTTAACTTCAACAATTAAAATCTTTAACATAAAAAATATAATTGAGGAAGCTAGTCAGCTTGGCTTTTCCCGAGTTATAACTTTCAAACCTGATGGATAACATATTTTTTAAGGCAAATCCAAGATATTTTTCTTAATTGGAATCAAATCCTTGTGAGGAGAAAAGAGATGGTATCACCCCTCACCTTATATATGGGCTTTTCTTTCTGTGCCTTTTTTGCTGACAGACATCAACAGACATCACTTTTGTTAGTAGTTTGTTAGCTGTTTCCTCTTCCCGTCCTTGCCCCTTAAATAACAAAACTTCATGCTGTCCTCGGAAGAAGTATTTCTAGTACTGAGGTCTTATGTCTCAGAGAGTTCATAGCAAGATTAAGTCTTTGGCTTGTAAACTTCTGTTTTACTCGGGATCAGAAAAAAAACAAAAAAAAATCCCCATAAGTTTTGAAGTGGCTCACATGTTCTGCATTGTGTTCACTGATGAAGATAACATTAGTCATATTTTCCTTTGCGGTGAGAAATAGAGGAAAACATGTCTTATGGGCACATTTGCGGGCAGGGTAATGAAGTCTGGTGCAATAGCAGATTCATAAACCTCAATAAATGTTTTTCATGTATCACCAACTAATTTCAGCAAATTTATTGTGCAAGTTGCACAAACTTGAGCCAGAAACAGTAYTTTGAGGTCTATTAACATATTTTTGTTACTTAGGCTGTGCTGGAACAAAATAGTAATTTTGTCCAAAGGGACTCCATATAGATGAAATATAYTTAAAAGTATTCAACTTACTGTTGGAAAAAAAAAATGCAGTTATCCAAAAGAGATTAAAATTATTTATTCCCTTCTCTTACCTATTTTGAAGTATTTATGAATAAATGATGTAGTACTACTATAGTATTTGGTGTCCCTGCTACAGCAGAGTGGGTTGCACTAGATGATCTCTAGAGGTCTCTTTTAACCTTAACTATTCTGTGTTTCAGTAATTCAGAGTTTAAAATAGCAATGATTTAAAATAAAAAGTAAAATTATTTATTTCAGTCAAAGTCTACATATAATTTGCCTTAAGAACTTTGAAGGCAGCATAACCTTCTGAATATATGTGATTATTTAACATGATTTTATAATACAGCTTCTCAGAGGAGTGGTGTAACAAAAGCAGTTGTGTAAAGTACTTACATTAATTAGGTGATCAGTTACAGTTGAAGCGCTTGTGCATTCTTCTTCAATATTGGCTTTCAAGGTGCCTGTTCTTTATTGTGAAGTGCAGGTTATGCTGACCAGCTTCAAATGGGTAACAGGTGGCATGGGCCTTTTGATGAATCTCTACAGAGCTSACTGCTGTCCTCCTCAGTGTTCCTCAGGAATGGGGAACCCTAATAAAGGTTACTTTGCCTGCTGGCCTTTTGGAAGCCGGCTGGCAATATCATCACTGTATTTTGGGACCAAGGGATGGGGAGTGCAGAGATCTTATGCTTTTTGCATTGCTTTTCCAGTTTTCCATGCCTTGGATTTTCCTAGTTTCTCATGTTTCTTAGCATTTTGAAAAACTTTTGTGTATTCTGATAAGTTTGCTTTTTTGCACGCGGATAATTCAAGGCTTCCAAATGATTTTCTGATATCAAAGCCCCCGAATAATATCTTTGCCTTGAAAATAAATACTAACAGTGAATTTATACTTGAGAGATTATGCKGGGTAGTGTGAAAAATAAGAGTTCATAATAGGCATGCTGTTTCAACTGTAAATTTTAATATTTTCAATATGTCTCATTTTTTATTTAATATTCTTAGATACACCTATGCAGTACTTCAGCAGTTTTATGGTGAAAATTTTATTGGTTTTTTATAGTTGGTAATTAAAATTTTTTGTTTATAAGCCTTTGAATAGATACATGTTATCAGACAAGGCCTTAATTTCTGAAATAAATTGCAGGATAAGCTAAACTTTTTAAAATAATTTGAAGTAATTTAAATGTTTTATATAAAACTTCTCTTGACTAMAGAGGAACTGTGCACAAGAGGGCAGCATAGGCATTTTGAATGTTTTCAGGTTGAGTGAAGTTCTTTAGGTTGAGATCTGACAATTTGGACAAATTTTGAGAGCAGTGTGGGTCAAGGGATTGTTCATTGTGTTTGACATACCAGGATAATTTTAATTTAKAAATGAGTAAGTTAGTAATTTTAATTTCTGTCTTTTGAAGCTTTCTCTTTGCAAGTTCCTATTTTTTTTTTACGTTTGACTGATCAGACAACTGTCTGATTCTTGCAGAAACTTCTTGTTATTAAGAGGAGATTATAGAATGTTGATTTTTAAGCAGGTTCTTATTTTTTTTAACTAATGAGACAGTCCTGCAGAAGCTGCTGTAGCTGAAGTTTTACTGTGTTTTTACAACAGTAGTAGCTTAGTAATAAAAATCAAATGAATTAAAAAAAGTATTRCAATTATATTAAAGATCTTAAATGTTTTCTACAGTCCATTTCTTAATATATCACACTGAATTTTATTACTGTGTAATGTACTCAAATTCTGTTTTCTTGGGAGAAATATGGTATTTTTGCTTAAAAGTTTTAACTTATTGTTTTAAAATATGAATGTCTGTAAAGGACAGATATCTCCTTTACTCTTACAATTGTTATAACGTTTTCATATGAACTGCCTTATAACAGTGGAAGAAATGCAAATGCATATTGTTGTTCAGGTAAAATAGCTTGATATTTCTCTGACCGTTTGCAATTTTGTGAAGATTAATTATTAAAATGAGATAATATTTTCAGCATTTAGGGGAAGAAAAAAAAACACTGATTCACTACTACTTAGTGTAATTCAACCACTTGATGCATATATTTAAATTATATTTTATTTTGTATAATTGTATTAAAGCAATACATTTATCTCTGGAGAAATGTATAAGTGTAAGAAACAGACTTCATGATATTTCCATTATTATTTTTATTAGGTCATGATGGTGCAGTTAACTCTGTTGGTTGGAGTCATGACAAGAAGTGGTTAGTTTCTGCATCAGAAGACCAAACTTTAAGGATTTGGTCAGTCTGCAATAAAGAACCTGCCCTACTTGTGGTAATGAGAAACTCATGTTAGCTGGTTCAAAGAGGACACTTTTGCATTTTAATTTATGTCCATTTTAATGGGTCTGTAGAAGGAACTGTAGAAATAGGCTTTCCAAGCTACTGAATTACAGTGATTGCAATTCATGCTATGACCTAGGTGGTTATCACCGACTGCAGAATTAGGCTTTTTATCTTGACAGTTTCTGAAAATAGAAAACTTTTTTTACCAGACCTAGTGAGTATATCTGGAAGTTTTGGTTTAAATGTCTGCTAGGTATTTTCTATTTTCATTGGCTCAGCTCTGTTTGACTTTACAGTCTACTTCTCAATTCAAATGGAAGTGTAGTGTATGTAGCAAGATCATATTAGACTCAATTGACTGCAGATACTGTTAAAGTTGCTGCCAATTAATTTAAACAGATTTTTTTTTTTTTTTGCCTTGAGATTAATAGACATTGAAAATAGATAGGGCCACTACACAGTAGGTTAAGCTTTTGGCATGTGATCAAGATTACAGATACATGGAGATTACATCTTAGTGCTAGTAATTCAGATGAAAAATGTTCAATGTGCTGGAATCCATTCTTAATTATTAACTTTGAATTTCAGGGTAAAGACAAGTTCCATAAATCTGTACGCTTTGCACAGTTTTATTATATAGATACATTTATATTGCTGAGCTGTGGAGCTGAATTTCATCTGCTAAGTTTCTATCTTGACACAGCGAAGGATGACCTAAAACGGTGAGTGACATTTCTCTTTACAGAGCAGTGAAAGTACGTATACGATTCTGTTTCTTTCTTTTTAGGGGATGGGAGGGTGAAGGGGCTATTTTAGCAAGAATGTTARAGAGCAAAAGTATGATTTGATCAAATAATATATATTAGCATTAAAAATATATTGATTCTGTCATGGTAAATAGGTAATGCCAGATATTTCTTATGGTGCCTACCTTATCAGGTAAAAATACATATTTTTATCTTTACATATATGATGAGTATATATACACATTATATTACTCTTCACTACTTCAGGATTACTGTTAAAAATTTGCTGTTCACACCTTAGTGTGTGCTAATATCTTAATTACTTTGGAAAAGCTATTGAAAATCCTTCTCCTATCTATCCTATCACATAGCGTGACTATTTTCTTCCTTTCTCCTTCAAGTAGAAGTATATTGCTTCTATCATTTTCACTGACTTTGTTATATTTTATTAACCTACTTTTATTAACCTATCTTGTTCCTGTATTTCATCTATATCAGAAATTCTTGAAGCACTTCTAACTGACACTGTTCTGCTTATTTTTAAGCGTCTTTCAGCCTTGGAACTAGTCCTTTTATTAAATGTATACTGTACCTTTTCATTTGTAATTAGACCTAAAATCCTTTTATTTCATTTCAGTACTTTTTATTTGTTCTTACTGTCTTTGATGATACTTTTGTATATGAAAACTTAATAAAATATGCATGTATATATGTGTATTTTGACAATATTCTTTAAAAAAATTCTTCAAGAGATATTTTTTTCCTTCAAGTTATCTTGTGGCTTGGAACTTTGAGTGGAAGTAAAGAATTAGGGTTACAACACTTAAGTCTATTCACTAACTCAAGTTTCTGTGAATTCTGTGTTTGTTCAYTTTATTCATTGTATTGGACCACATCCTCAGGTGGGGGAAGGCTATCCTGCTTCCATGTATGTTTGGCAGCTGTTTAAAAAAACATTCTAAGCTTAAGTGCTTTCCTGAACTGAAGCATGAACTTGGTAGGGGGACCTTCACTGAAACTTTAAACTTTGTTGTCATTCAAAAAAAAAAAAGAAGAAAAAAAAAAAACCCACAAAAGCGGAAGCTTCCAGATGATATCACCTCTCTAAAATACACTTTTTTAAGAACAGAAGCTTTCCCTGATTTGAAAAAGCACATATTGTGTTGTTATGATCGTCTATTTTAACTATTGATTATAAATTGTTATAAATTTCCTACTCTGATTTTCTAGTACATACAGTACATTAGAAAGCTAAAACTATTAGAATATAATGAAAAATAAATAATAGAATAAATAAACAATTTCCTTTGAAATTTTTTTTGGCTTTGTCTTCGCTTTTTTCTTTTTTTTAAATATTTTTTTTATATATATATATATATATTTTAATATTCCAAGGTGTAGAATATTCCAAGCCTGTAGAAATGGCTACAAAGGATAGGAGGAAACTGAGAGGTTAGGAAGGGTGAATCCAGTTATGCTTGAAGTCTGTCCATAGCATAAGTAAATGATACTGGGAAACTGAGGCAAGTAAGCCTTTACTCATACCATACTTAACTCATAAATAACAGGCAATCATGGAGGAGTTTAGCGGAAAGAAGATATTAATATTCTATCTTTTAATTCCCTGCTATGTTTATTACTTTTCCTTTTTTAAAATTTAGTTTTAATTTTGGCATGTATGTACCAGCTCTAGAAACCTCCATATTTCTTCTAGGAACCACAGATACCTAGTAACCAGATGAGCAGACATAACTGTACTTACTGTTGAAAAAGGCTGAACTACCTTGAAGGTGGTTCTGCTACTACARGTAGTTTGGAACTTGGTGTAGTTGTAGAACCTATCCGAGCAGTTTTGCATGGTCTTGGGCATTGAACCTTGGTCTGTGCTGCTCCTGTTATTGTATCCTGAACGTGTGTTATTCTAGTTTAGGTCGTATCAGACGTAAAGAGTGCTTATTTTTCCTGTTGCCATATTCTCAGTATTCCCTGATGAGTTAACTCAAAAACATGCCATTAGATTCTCTAGGATATTAATATAATGCCAAAAGACCATACATACAATTGTAGACATTACAAATCTGCAACCCAGTCTGAGGCCTGCTTATATTTAAAAAGAAAAAAAAGAAAAAAAAAAAGAAAAAAAAAAAAAGTATTAACAAAGGTTAATTTGCTTTGACGTTCTCGATGTTCTCTTGTGGCTTCCCTCCAGTTTATTTCCCAGCATTTCTTTTATGAAACACTGTGTCATGACTTTTTGTTTTTCACCACTCATTCATTCTCCATTCTCAGTCAAAGTTGGAAGACTTGAATGGAACTGATTCAAGAAGACACTAGATTAAACAAACAAAAAAAAGCTTTATTTTCTTAMTTAGAAATGCATTGCAATGCATTCTGCTTAACTGATGAATTACCACTCCATTTCTGAAGTGAAGACAATAACAATGACAATAYCTGTAGTTCTCTGTGCTGAGTTTTCAAAGAGGTTTTTTTATAAGAATAAATTAAGTATTCGACAACTTAAAGAAATGATTAAATATTTGTTCATTTTCAAATGTGGACTTGAGAAGAAGAAATGAGAAAAATAATGTTCTTTTCAAGTGTCCTAGAGGATATTTGTTGCAGTTCTGGCAATAGAATCCAGATCTCCTGAGTCTGTGATTAATCTCAAAATGATTCACTGTCTGAATAATTTTCTTTACATTCTTCAGAATCACTGATAATTATATCTACTGTTTTCAGCAATAGTTGTGTGTGCTGATATGAAGACACTGTTTGCTGCTAAGTTTATTTTTTTCTCCATTTCTTAACTATTTTTGGATCTCATAAGAATTTGAGAAGGACAAAACATCCGTGGATTTTGTGTCTTTTTTATAATCAGCTTGATGTGTTGTTTTAAAGATCAGAATGAGGAATATGAAAGGAGTTTAAAATGAGAATACGGAATGAGAATTAATGCTAAAATATCCTCTCTGAGGAACTGTGGAGCTATACCAACACATTTAGATTATAGATGGATAATAGAGGCCATTGTTAGTGGGCTTAATTTCACGTGCTGAATAGGAGATTGTTCATTTCAGGTAGTTCCATAGTGTTAATGTTTACAAAATCATTATTTTGATGTAAACCATTTAGAGATGATTTAAATTTCTTCAATGGACTCCACAGACGTGATTCAGTATTACAAAACTAAGAATATTCTATATTTATTTGCTGTGATCTTTTGCCATTTATTCAGAAGCTTAAACACAATTTATTTTGTCAGAAACAGAATGATCACTAGATGAGAAGTACCTAAGTCATAAGATGAGTTCTAACAATGTTAGAAACAGCTACCATTTTTAAATGCTTTAAATATTCCTATTCACTTCCTTTGCTGTTACTAAGATTAATTATATTTGGATAGTGTAGGAGATAATATTTTGCAATTGTGACAAATTTCAAGCCTTTTAGAAAATAGTGGTGTATTTCCTCCTTTTTATGTAAATACTTTTCTTTATTGAGTTCATGACTGTCTCAATAAATTTATAATGTAATTATTACTCAAGCTTAATTTTTACAGCTCATAAAAATGTTTGTCATGTCTTGAAACCCTATGATTCTTGTTTGTTTATGGTGTTTTGATGGTGTTTGGATTGTCCTTTAGTATATAGAAATATCAACTTCCGCAATCATGTCAGGAAATGGTCATATCTTAGAATCCATTTTAACTATTGTTTCTTGAAGGTATATTAATCTCTTGCAAATAGATATCTGCTGTAAATGTTTTCCCCACAATGATTACATGCCAAAAGCCTGGACTTTGCAGACTAGTCATTTAGCAATCATGTTGGCAAAACTGTAATTGAAGGCATTAAAACAAGACAAGTGTAGTTTTGTCTTTTACTGCATTTGTTTTGGAAATTCTATAAAAAAGGGAATRAATTTTGCTGGTGGAAAACTAGAAAATGGCCAGACATGAGATAGAGATCTTTATCCTTGATGTTTTTAATTTTATTTTCAGAATTCATTTCTGGTTGAAAAAAATGAAGCCTTTCTTCTTTCCTCTTGAAGATTTATTGTGTTTTTCATTATCATTTTCTCTGTTATACTTAAAAAGCAACCCCTGTTATATCCATAGAAATCAGTTTCTGTTGATTATTTTGCAGTGAAAAGCACAGTCCTTGTTAAATGCACTTTCTAATTGATAGATTTAATTTCAACAGTCTAAAAAGCTTCATCTATGTGCACTCTTTGTGGTTTTTTTTTTAGTGTGTCTTGATATACTTTACAAAACCTTCTGCTCTTTAATGTATTAATTCCTGTCGAGGGTTAATCCTTCAACAAATTATTTGTAAAATGAATTGCTACCTCTTCTGAAGTAAACAGGACATTATTTTATATGAAAATGTAAACTCTGCACTTCTTTAATTTCAAGAAACATTTTTAATCCTAAATGTTGCAAGTAAACTTTCATAGCAAGTAATTCATTTAAAATTCACAMTAACGTCCTTTTGTGATCTGAGATCATCCACAGATTAACTAATTATGTATCATGTTGCCTCTTAGCCTTAGTTTATGGAGCCTTTTATTATTAAAGCGATAAAAGTTGCACAAATTGGTTACATAAACCTAAATCTCTAACAAATAAGAATATTTTTTTCTACTAATATATACTGTGTGCAGCTCAGTGAGTTTGTGGTATCTGTCTTAATTTTATGTGATTTACACTTTGAATTGAATGTATATAGTAAATATGTGGTAAAGGAAATCTGTCCAAAACCAAGAAGTAGAAGGTCTTGAATAGACTTGATTTTTCTCTGATTTGTGGTTCAGTTTTATCCTAGCCAATATTTGATGATTCTCTATTTGTCGTGTTGACGGTTTTGTTGTGAATTCAAATTACTTCTGGAAAAGACCTGTATAAGTATCTGTGTAGCAAACTGCAGTGAAGAAGAAAGAGACTTCAGCTAGCTTGAAAGAGTTGATTTCAGGTTTGGGAACAATCTTAAATATTTCRGTGTTTTTCAGGAGGATAAATTAGGCCAGCAGAAGTTTCATGCTACCTTGATTAGATTGTTATTTTTATCAGCTTGTTTAAAGCTAGCTTGGATATTTTTATACAGAAATGGATATAACGTTTTTCTGAATCTTGAGGAGTTTATTAGTTTAATCAAATAAAATACTCCTGGAAACCACTAAAGTTTCTTGTATTAAATTACAAAACACTGTAGTTTCTACCAGTGTTACTGAAGTAGCTCTAGTTACCACCTGGGACTGCTCAGCAGACCGTTGTTTCAGAATGGCCAAGAAAGGCAAAAGCAAAACATTAAACATTAATCATTTTTCATTTAAATGAATACTGCTGATAGATATTGCTTTGCCAAACAGAGCTTAGTTTTTGAAACTGGTAGTACTGATATAAAGGAAGAATTGAAGCTGTTGAAGCTTGTCCTAATTTGTATTAATACTTATTAGTCAGATTTGGCTTGAGTCAATGCATTGAATTTTTATGCCAAAATCCTAAAAGAGTTCAGTGCATTTCAGAAGGCCTAGTTGCTCAGCAGTTTGTGATCAGACCTTTGTCCCACTCCTGTCTGAGTGGGAATTACTCTTTTCTCACTGTTTTCTGCTCATCATCTCTCTCTTAATTCCTCTATACAGCACATGAAAAGCTATACTAAAGATAGTAGTATTTCTGTGGGCTTTCTTTTTTTTTTTTTAAATCATAGTTAATTTATTTCAAGATCCAGGCAGGAGTATTTAAATATTTTATGCTGATGGAATTTCTGCCTTAGATATGTGAACATCATATTTTTTTAATCTAAATTGGTTCTTTTAAGTTTTATAGAAACAACAAGTAGAAGCAACAAATCCAAATGTTTATGACTTTAACTTCTAATAACCAAACTGAAATTTCTCCTCATAATTAATTATTCCAATGTGAGTTTATTGGTGGCTACAAATTGTATTTTTTTAACACTGCCATTCATTTGGTATCTTTTGCAGATATAAACAGAGAAGTGCTTGCAAATTGATTCAGAAATTTCCCATGGCTTCCACAGTGGAGATCACCAGCCTTTCAACAGTAAATGATTTCTACTCTTGTATCCTATGACAAATTAGATCTATAGACTGGAATGGAAATAACTTCAATTAAAGTAATTAGCATTTGATTGTTTGGAAGTCTTTTCCTGTTAGAGTAGAAATACTTTTTCATGGTATCAAAGTTCAGTCTCAGAAGTAACTTTTTTATGATTGTAAATGTTTTGGTGCTGCTCCTAGAACACTGGGTACAAAAAATACATGATAACTATTTATTTGTCTTTCTGTATATCTATATGCTCCTGTTTCTTTAAATCAGTTTAACTTTAACAGAGAGAACTTTACAGATATTGTACTCACAGCTGGTAGCAACAGAGCACTGGAAGTGTTTGACCTCAATGCAGGCTGCAGCTTGGCAGTAATACCAGAGGTTCATTCTAGATCAGTCCATCAGATCTGCCAAAATAAGGTATACGTCTTATTGAACATTTTAGTACCACTACAGCTCTATTAAAAAAGGAATTTCAGACTAAAAATTTGATTGATGCTAAGCAATATACTTTATATGTTGGGGAGGAAGGACAAGGTTATAAGACTGTGCGATAAAGACACCTTTGCCTACAAGATTTCACTATTTGTCTGCTGGAGAGCAGAGGGTGATGAGAGCTGACCAAAATGTTCTGCTATTAGGGCAGTATAGATTCTGCTTTGCCTTGCTGGGTCAGACTGGAATATTATAGTCGAGCAGGAACTACTCATTGTAACTATTTAAAATATCTGGGATAACCTATCATTTTCGTAGCCGTTAACACAACTCTAATTCTTTAGCCTGCATTTTTTAACATCCTTTTTAGTAATAGAATCTTCTACATTATTTAATACAATATTAGTATAGATGCTAGATAACATACTGACTTTAGAGAACTCAAAAGGTTTTATGACCAAAAGTAAACATATTAAACAATTCTTGCATGGGGAAATGAAGACAATTTTAAAATTCTCATGATTTTTCTAGGATTTTTACACTTCTCTGTGTTAATTTACCTGAAACACAAATTGTTATATATTGTTATGAAATACCTCAGGGACTAAGTTCTACTCCTAACATGAGAAATAGGGGCTAAGTTAAAATTCCAGCTTTGATCATTTGTATATTAACTGATATGGTCAGTCTTTTATCAATTAAAAGAAAAAATAACAAAAAATTGCTTTTCTGTAATAGCTCTGAAAATAGCCATTTGCATAGTAATGCTGTACTATATATAATTCAGCAAAGGAATTTCTAACAAATATAGGTGACTACAAACTCCTCAGATGTGCAYACTGGAAAAGGTGAGATTAAGGGACTTGTTCAGTTCCTTTACTCTTAAGATGATGAGAGAAAAATAACTTGCAATTAAGAACAGTAATAGTTTTAGTCTGTTACCTGACTAGAATTGTGGTGKTGTTCTTGAGACACTGTTAATGTTCTTCTGTTATGAAAATAACTTTCTTCTGTTCCAGGTTTTGTGCTGTTAAGTATTCGTAACTTAATTTATCTAGCTATCCATTGTGTTCATGGGGATAAGAATCRGGGACAGGCTTGTCAGAGGTCCTGAAAAAATACTAGAGTTTTACAAAATTATGGTAGAACTTAAGCATGTCGTTATTTTATTCCTTCATTTTTATCCCAACTTTCTTTTTTGAAATACTTAAATCCTCTAAAATAGTATATTGCATTGTTTCAGAATGTTTTTGACATCAAAATCTGGTGTAAGTGATTTACTCRGCAATACCAGCATTCCCATCCGTGCACATCTGTTATTACCTGAAATTTTCACTGTGATGGAAACTTGAACTATTTATTTACTTTTTTCTTTTAATTGGATATTTTGGTTATGTCCCTAAATCTTTGTCTCCTCTTGAGAAAATGTCTATATAAGCTGTGCAATAGGTCTTTTGCCTGTCCRTATTAACTGAAGCTAATCCTTCTAAAAGAAGCCTGTCCTGTGGACTTACACTAAGATTGAAAGCAATACCTTTAAGAAACTTACTATACCATACTACTATAAGAATTTTCAATGTGTGATTGTGCAGATTGTGTAATTGAAGACATAATAATCTTGACTTTTCAGCTTTCTTTTCAGTTATGCAGACTTTAGGTTTAACATATCATGCTCAGATATAGCTTGATATGTACATGATATACTAGGTCATATCCTAATGGCTAGCAAGTTAAAATATTCAGGGARAATTCATGGATTTTGAACAAATAAACTGAAAAGGAGGGTAGTGAAATGTGATGTGAATTGAGGGAAACTCTTTGCCTGGATATTAATGTGGATTTACTGTTTCTCTTTATGAGGATTTACTGTTTTTCTTTACAGTTCTTTACAGATTACTGTTTCTTGAGGGCACTCAGTTTTACAGACTTCTGTGTATCACAAGTTGATTGCAGTATATCAAGTTTGGCTTGGTTCTAGAGGCAGGCAGTTATGATACTCATTCTTCAGCAGGGGATCTTTTTACAAACTCTCATGAATTCTGGAGAAGGTTTTCCTGTGAAGTCATAATTCTGACTGGAAGTTTTTAATTTGGAAAAGTATACAATATGCATGGAGAGTCCTTTGTTTTAGTGCTTGAAGCCAAATTAAAGTCAATTGCAATTAAATCTATATAAAGTGAGTTGTAAYTGACAGGATGTTCTTTTTATGTCAGTCTTCTGTGGATATTTACATTGGTCTTTTCATAGGAGTCTTACGTTTTCTCCAAAGTTGAATTTTTTAAAATTCTGTTTTGTTCTGATATTTCATAAACAAGATTTGTTCAGTAGCATTGGCCTTTTTGGAACAGGAATAGATGATTTAAATCTTCATAGTTAGTGTTACTTGAAGATAGGTTTGAATGTTTGGTGGTCTTACAATACAATACGTGCAGGACTATCTATTGCGTTAGGTTTAGTTGAGCATGGCTCTTCATTCCCTGTTGAAATGTCCTTGCTTCTGTGGGTAACTACTCTTTGGTGCTACTTTGATATAGCTCTCTGGCTTTTCCCTTGATATGCGATGTGGCAAAACACTTAATTGTGCTAGTTATTTCTGTACAGTTTGTAATACATACAGGTTTGGAGCTGTGGCCTTTTTTAATTTTATTTTGATGTTGCTTTGATTTATTTAAGCAAGAAAAACTCTAAAGCTGTGAGCAAGTATTCACTTGGGAGAAAACCTAGAGAATTGTGGCAAAAGGTGAGCATTTTTATGGAGACTTGAAGATTCTTGTTAAATTATTGATTAGCAATATCTTCCCTTGTATTTAAATATTTTTCAGATAAATTAATTATGGTTGTATACTAGAGTAAATATAAATTAGTGCATTAAGATAATACGCTGAAGTATTTGATATACTTGTCAAAATATGCAGCATCTGAGTTATTGCCTGAGTATAAAACATATTGGAGTGTAGGACTGTCACTACATTAGCTAGTGGGATAGAAGTAGCTTCATGGGGTAAAATGGTTGATGATGAGGGCCCTATGCCCATGAAATGTAGGGATCCTTTGCCTATRGACTGTTTTTAGCCTGCCCTTTATCATGAACTAAAGTCTTATTAGTGATTGCAGTGCAATAGGCATAGAACTTTACTTTAGATTTATGTTAAAGTAAACTAGTTCCCATGTTCTAAGACTTGTTAGTGATGCAGACAGAACAGTAGTAGATGGGGATGGTTAGGAAATTAGTTAAGTAAAAAAAAAAATCTTGGAGAAACATTTAAATAACTATTAGAAGATATTCTAGAATCATAAAATTATAGGATAACAGCTTTACTTTCAGTTATTCCAGGCTTTGGACAGCAATTGCTGTAAGCAAGTATCTACAATTGCAATGTAATAACTTTGATTTTAAACTGTTGTTGAGGTGCCTTTTGGAGATAATTTACAAGAAATGGCAATGTGTAATGTTTCTCAGGCAGCACAGACCTTAARCTTTTTTTATCATTTAGAGCATGTCCACTCTCTTTCCAGCAGGTACTAGCTGATGCCTAGTAGAGCAATATTCTGAGTCTTTCTCCAGAGCAGTTTAGAAGGAAATATTGTGAGACTTGTTTTTTAAAGTTGTCCTGTACTGTCTGTTACATATTTCTTAGAAGACTGTGGAGTGCTAACTAGTACTTGGTGGAGACCGTTTTTAATGGATGTTTATGAATCTTGGTTCCTTCTAGAATTTTAGTGTTCTAAAAATCAAAATAAAATTTAGAAAATGTTAAGTATTACTGCATCTAAATAACTGACTCTTTCAGAATGATAGTTTAGAAGCAAAAGTTAGATCAACTGCTTTTATTTTTTGTACATGCATATAATCCTCTTCAAAAATGGTTTTTCTGTAAAAATTCTTGCAGTTTATCAGTACAGATATTTAGAATAAAGTTTAGGGAAATGTACAAAGGAAAGTTAAATATTTAAGAGTGAGACTTCAGCTGATTCTAAGAATTGGTTGCCCAACTCTCTACTCATTTTGAAATCTCCCTTAGGGCCTTCTAAATAAAGTTGGCATAAGTCTCCTGACCCTTAGGAATTGAGAAATCCTCATCTTTATTTCTTTGCTTATCAAAATCTGTGCCAATTCCAATGAAGCCAGAGTACAATTTGTTACAGTTACTCATCTTGAAAATTGGTAAGAATTTACCAGCTAAAACCATTAGGGCGCGCGCACACACACACACATACACACACACATGTGCGCACACACACATGCGCACACAAATCCTGGATTCTTTAGTGACCACTAGATGGTCAGAATTGAACCATTGAATCATCCTAACTGTAATTAAATTATAAAATATCATTGTCATTAACTTAGGTGTTAAATCTGCAGCCTATGTAGAGTACAGTTGAAGGAATCTTGTCCTTTGCCTGTAATTTGAATTATGCAAAGTAATCTCTGCTCTAGTTAAAAGTTTATCTGTAAAATGTTGCAGATGAACATACAGTACCTGTACTTGGAATAAATATATGGAGGATTTAATATCATAGGTTACCAAATAGTTAATACCATAGGTTACCATATACCGAATAATGAATGCAATGAAAATATATCTGCATGCTGGCATGGCATCATGATGGAAGGTATATACTGTCATACTTGATCTTTCCTTCTTAATCTCTATTAACTGTAGGAATAGGTAAATGTCTTAATACTTTAAATTGCAATAGGAATACTTTAAATGGAAATTTGCAATTACGGTTTGAAAGTAGGATATATGTATATGTATATGCATATACACTATATTTTTATAGTATTTCATTGACTTGGTTGTATTTAGGCCTTTCATTTTACAGTATTTTGTGTTGTAAACTTGTGTGATTGTATCAACATCAAGGAAAGGAAATCAGGGTAGGAAACATCTCTCGGATAGATTCTGAAACTTCCAGAAAGGCCTTTTAGAGATAAAATTACAGAGGTCTGTGAAAATTAAAATATTAGCTTTAGAAATTCAGGAGAGGACTGTTGAGCAAAACCATAACAGACTGAAACTCACTAGAAGAGTATTTTGGGTATTGTGCTTACTACCAGATTTTTGTTTGTATCTTTGTATTACTTGTAGCAGATTAATTCCTAGTTGCAGTCTAGTTGAGATTAGTGGAGTTATTCAGGATTARATTGTATATAGAACTCCTAGGCTTGGATCCAAAATAGCACTTAGTACAATTTAGGTACTGATGTTCAGGACTGGAAAACACAGAAGACATTCCCAGCTCTTGGAGCTCCATATGTGATTCAAGTTTACCAAATAAAATGACTTTATGAACTTTAGACTTCTTACTACTTACTTAGAAGCTCTCTTTTCTTGATTTAATTGGTTATATTAATGCTTGTTATTTCTAGCCTATTTTTGTTTCCATAACTGTGCATCTTGGTCCCAAAGCACACCAAAGGATGACAATTAAGCACATCTGTTTTCATATAAAGGCTCTTCCAACAGCAGTAAAATGAATTAATCATTCTTTCTAATGGATTTAGTCCTGTATCCTTAAATATACTAAAAATTCCTAACCGCCACAGTATCTTCAGTTTCCCTGTCATGTTCTTTATAGCCTTTTCTTCACCATCACAGATATCTGTTTTTTTTTTTTTTAATGTCTATCCATAATGCCATAGTCTATCCTTGTTCAGAACTACTCATGTTGACTGTTTAATGGCTTGCCAAGCAAAATGGCTTTCATTGATAGGTGTACTGATTGGAATTTCTACCTAATTACTCATGAACATTACCCTATAAGTATTGAGACCCTTCTCTTCCTGACAGATTGGATTTTGAAAGTGGAGCAGGTTAAAAAGAATTTGGATCGGAATCAACAGGCAGTACAGTTTCATTGTAAAATATGGGCTACATATACATGGTGCTATGCATGATTCTATAGAGATGTGCTAGTGGTGTTGCTATTCATTTCTATACAACAGATTAGTTCTCGGTACATTTGATCAGGAACTGGGAAATTGAAGTTCATTTTCCTCTTCAACCTGAGATAATACTTCAGAATTTTATTAAAGTGGACATCTTTGTATTTCAGTAATAGTCACTAGGCAATACAGTTGTGTTGAGGGACCCTCTACACTCTCATTAAACAGGGCATGCTCCAGAGAGTAACGAAGCAAGTGAAAGAGTAAGGATGTCGCAGAGCAAAACTGACACTCTCCCAAAAGAGTAGAGTTCTGATTTCCAGACTCTTCTCTCAAAATTGCTTGTGATACTTGAATGCAGGGTGTTACTAGACCCTGGTGCTACTTCTATACACCTCCTGAGGCAGTAAGTGAATATTCCTCTTTTGGCTGCAGTAATTCAACCAGTGATTTCCAACTTGACAAGTTTATTTTGCTTCATAAGATCACCTAAAGAAAGTCAGCTACTGATGATTACCAAAGAATTACTGAAATTTGATGCTTTCACTAGGTACCTAATATGATGGTTTCATTAGACTCTTAAAAAAAAAAAAAAGAGAGAAAAAAAAAAGAAAAAAAAGAAAAAAATAAGCATGTGAATTCTCTTTTTGAAGTAAGTGGGAATATTTACATATTTCAGTTTATATATATGCTGTTTGTTGATTTGTGGTCCTGGAAAACTGCAGTTACCTCAACAGAGATATATATTACCAGTTGTATTCTGAGTAGAACATAAGCAAAAATCCTTGACTATAGTCCAAATGTCATTTTTTCCGGTAAGTGTGCAAGTCTGACTTTTTTTTTATCCCTTCTAAGAGCAGATACCACTACAGACAGATTATTCATATCTCATCAAGAAATCRCATTATTCTAAAACACCCACTTTATGTGTATGAAATGAACTATGGTTCGGTGAATTTTCTTATTTTTGGACATTTTATTTAGAAGGTGTAATTTTTGAAGATGAAAAATAATATTTAATGTGCTTGTTTATGTGTACAAAACTAAACCAAAGATTTTTATTAAACAAAGCTGGAAAAGGGATACAGCATTTTAGGTACATTTTAAGCTTTGACTAATTTATGGCACTTTTTATGAATTTCCTTCAATTTTTGCTTYGTGAACTTGAATACTCTTTTCTGTATATCTATTAATCCTTATTCATTGAATTAATAGAATCATGTAGAGAAAGTACCCACCTCTGATAAACAGTGAATAAGAGAGAAACCACCTGGGTTTAGATTTCAAAAAACAAAACAAATTTCTATAGAAAATGTCACATAGGATGATAATTGTCAAATATTCATGTTAAATTGTCATATGTCAAATATAATAGCATGAATACTTAGACCATCTAAATAAAAACTGGAATTTCTAAGAAAGATTTGAGGGTACTGGAAGATCAGGAAAAAAATAAAAGACTGAGAATCTTGCATGCAAAGATTTAGCAAATGCAAAGATTTAGCAAATATTTCACCATTTTGAAAATAATTTTGTAGTATATGTATGGCAAGTATTACATAGCCACTGTKTAAATCAATCCCAGATGTCTTGAATGTTTGGAGGCAGTAGACACAACAGGTCTTGTTTATCTCTTTATAGTCATAGAAAAGGACTAAATTGAAAGTCAGTTGCTCATATTAAGAAAGAGGAAAAAGAATTAAAATTAATTGCATATGAAGAATTTGTTGAACAATCTAGAGAGAAAGCTAACACGGGGGTAAGAAGACAAAAAACGGTCAAAGAACCTTGAAAACTTGGAGATTTTGTAATGGATAATGTAAAGGGGCACTTAATGAAGATTTTCTGGCTTGTTAGGAAGAAGGGTGAATAGATTGTTTTTTTTCCAGGTGTGAGGTAAGAACAGATGAAATTTTGGAGGTAGTGCTGGGGAAATATGAAATAGTAGCAAACAGTATTTTTCAAAATTCAAGCAGAAACTCTTGGCTTTGTTGGAAAATCAGTGGTAAACTGCATTTTAGTTCATCTGTTAGAGCAGGCTTTGGTGATCTTAGTTTAGGAAGGAAACTTGCTTTAAAGCAAAGGAAGAAAAAGCTTCTATAATCTCTTTAATGCTGTATGCCTCACTTTGTCTTACCATTTGGGGAATTCAGCTGACTAAATGCTAGAGCATTTTCCAGTTATTCACCATTTTTTTTGTAAGAAATAGAAGATTCTTGGAAATCAAGTACGGATTGCGGGAAACAACCTTGAGGTTTCTTGAACGTGCCCAGCCAAATCAAGAATGCAAATGGTAGGGAAAGGAAAGAAGGAGTTTCAACTGTTTATATTGAGTTCCCCGAAGAAAGAAGTTTTGTAGCCAGCAAAAAGGTCAGGGTTTGCCAATATAGATGTTAAAAAAAAAAAAAAAAAAAAATCAGATGTTTAAAGATAGACTGGATTTAGTTATTGAAAGGTATAAAGCCAAAATCACTCCTGGTGTGTACAGTTGCTTTTGAAGTCAATGGAAAGTAGGCCCACTATTCAGCCAGGGCTGAATATGTTAAATGCTATAGTTAAATGCTGGGCTACTCTGGTTCTGTGTTATATAATTTGACTTTGTCAAGACAGTAAATTCCTTGATGTATTTTGTATTTTTGGTTTCCTTCTTTCTCTTAAACATCCCAGAATATGGCTGGGGGAACTCCCTGGTGCTCTTCCCCTGTGACCCATAGTGCGGTAGCAACCCCTCAGGCTGGTAGTGCTCTAGCAAGCCTTGCTTCCAGCTCCTGGTGGCAAATGCCCCCCAGACTGAGGACTGGGCTCCCCAGTGCCAGCCTCGACTGGGGCCAGGACAGGGTCCCCGCTTGCTGACTGGGTTGTTGGGGCTCCCACTGCTGCTGCTGTGCATCCTGTTCCACTGGGTTTGCATGGATGAGCCGCTTCCGAGTTGGCCCATGGGAGCAGCTAGGGCAGGAGATGTTAGGGGTTCCTCTGCATTGCTTTGTTTCTCTGCATTTCTTTGTGCATGTGAAGATGGACTTTTTAGCACCAGAACAGAAGAGTGATCTGAAAATAATTTCTGCTATTACAGGGGTCAGCATTCAGCACTCAGCAACCTGAAGCTTACAATCTTTTCATGACCACAGCTGTAGGTGACGGCATCAAACTGTGGGATTTAAGAACGCTGAGGTAAGGCCATGTTAGGTACCTTAGAATAAAAAGGCCAACTTTATTTTTATTCAGAATTGTCATAACTCTCAGTAATATACAAGTAGAAATTTGGCTATAGAATCAGAGCTGTACTTAAGCTTTTAGAAAAGAAAATTAAAGGCTAATAATAATTTATTAAATTAAACAAAYCAAAGAAAATATTAAGTAGATTTTTACTTTTGGTTCTCAGTTATATTTACTTATGTGGAAACTATTGAAGAGTCAAGATTATATATATAGAATCATATACATACATAGARAGAAAATTAATTTTATTTAAAAAATAGTATACTAAATTGGATATGAATGATATTTCCAAAACGGCATTTTTTTTTCCTAAAGGAGGTAAAATTAATCATCCAAGCTTTAAATTAAATATAATTGTAATATTATAAATCATTTATATGGTTCTGTAAATATACATAATGCTTTATTATAACCTCAAAATAAGATATTGTTCTTTCTCCAAAAATCTTCCAATGTTGAACTTGAGAGTTGTGAGGTGAGGAGAAGTGGTAGGGAGGGGTAACTACTTAGCAAAGGAAACARTTGGGGAAATCTCTGTTGTATAGGCTGAAAGTATTATGTTTAAAAGAAAAAGGCATTGGATGGGGAAGACACCTATRCTTTAAATAGTATTTTTGTGTTTGCGTTGTGCACATATATGTATTTGTTGAAAGATGTAATGTAATTTTTCTAGTAGTAAATTTTCTCTTTAGAAAATACTTACTGTTTGTTTCAATCTACCACATTTCTGTTCTGTGGTTCTGTTAAACCTATAGGGGGCATATATGTTCTTGACAAACTTCCATTGCTATACTGCATGTCAGAAAGTAATGAAACTAGAAACCACCGAGTCTGGAATCTGTAATGTTCTTATGTTTTTGTAATAATTTGCTCAAACTGTGATTCTAGAATAGTAATGAAAAAGTAGAGAGCTTTTCACAGATGACTTATCTGCCTCTTCCTTTTTAAATATTAATATAAGTAGAGCAGGTGAATGGTAAAATAGTTAGAAGTGTAAAATCTGGATAATCAATTAAATGAGTATGGCCTGGGAARAGGGGAATAATTTATTTATACACTTGCTCCATATTTAGCTTGGCAGTCARTATATTCTTGTGTCCCCTGACTTCAGTTAGCTAAACTTAAAAAAACAGTCCTTGAGGATCCATATTTACATATGTTGTGTGTTTGTGTATTACACAGTCATTGATAGTTGCTGATGTAGAGAAGAAATACAGAAATGGTTTCACTTGTTTTTCAGRAAAAAAACTTAGAAATGATTTTTTATTGCTGAAAAAAGATTGAATTGTCTGTATTTTAAAATCTCTTCTGGAGTACTCATAAGGAAGAAAACTATTCGCTTTTTCCTAATGTGTTCACCAGGTGTTTTTCACATACATAATTTTAAAACGGCTGAGTTTGGAAAGCTTCATCTTAACCTGGAACAAGGCTTCACTGTGGTATTAGGCTTACTGCACAGTTACAGGGTTTTTTTTTTTTTTTTTTTTTTTTTTTTTTTGTTCATAGATCCTGCTCAGTGAAACTCAGAGCATTTCTTACACTGTTGGGTGCTTAGAGATTAATTCCTAAACAATCTTATTGTGAGCCAGTTCCTTAGATCTTTTAAAGTTGTTGATTTGTAAAATTAAGGCATCAGCCCTTACTGTGTTTGAACTGAACCCTCTGGAATGGTTCCTCTTTTTGTGCAGTGTTTTTGAAATGTAGTCAAGGTAARTCCACTTTCTGTTTGCAATGTTGTGGGTAGTAGAGGCAGCTCCAAGATTTCAACGTTATTGTCTGTTGGGGTTTTTTTGTGGGTTTTTTTTTTCAGTTCTAAATATTTGCTTCAGACATCCCCAGTCAAAGCTGTTTTACTGAGCTGTTCAATCTCCTAGTTACACTTCAATGATTTCTATCCACTGTTACTTAACAATATTGCCAAGTACAAAGCTCTTAATTAAATGACAAGACAAAAAAAAAAAAAAAAAATCCAGTATGCTGTTCATGAAAGCTGCTTTTGAAAGCATGGGAAACTCTTCTGAGAGTAACTATGCACAGTTTCCCTGGGAATCTTGTGTTTTGTTCGGACATTTTCTTTGATGAAGTTTCCTTTTTTCATTTTTCTGACATGCAACATGCATTCCTTATATTGTAACTGACTGAAGCATTGGAGCAGAATGCTCAGGTTCTTTTTTGATCCTTACTTAGAATAAAGCTTCAAATGTTTTATTCTGGCCTGCAACTTTAGAGGTTTTTATTTTTGAGTTCCAAAAGAACATTTCCACTTTGTGTTGTCCAACTAATTTTTTTTTTTTTCAATGTAAATTAATGTAGCTTTTTTTTTTTCTTTAATCTCCTCAAAGTTGGTAAGCTGGTAAGACTATTTTGCACTTTCCATTCTCATCATCTGTACTGGATAAAGCTGTGAAACCATCTGTCTTTTTGACTCTTGAAGATTTGGAGGCATTTCAAGGTTRCCTCAGAGAGTGCCAGAAAGTCTTACAGGTTCCTCTGAAGGTGGTACAAGAAAAGGCTAAAATGCCTGATGTTCTCAGCCAGCCTCTCATAGCCAGGCCATCTTGCCAATAGGTGAGAGAATCTTGGACTTAGATCCTAGTGACTTTTGGACTACTTGGTCTTCTGCTTTGTGTACTGTGAAATGCATGGATTTGTAAAGTTCTATCTGAATATTTTGAGTATTTTTATATTTCTCCTCCTCCTCCTTTGTAACTGGTAAGAAAAGTTCCAGACCAATGAATAAAGAACCAAGAAGGATAGATCTATTTGGGATAAAATCCTGCTCTGGCTACTGTTCTTCCAGTTGAGGATAATGAACTATCAGGCTTTCTGAATTCATGCATTGGGGTAAGACACTTGTCTTTGATCAGTTTTCAAGATATTTTGAAGAGTAAGTTAAGTCTGTGTTGCCTAAAAGAACACCTGCTTGGAGAATAAAYGAAAATATATATCTATGGTCCAAATTGGAAGCAGTAAACACTCATGTTAGACTGTGAAGTACAATGGGAATCTGAAGAAATCCAAAAGAAGATGAGACTTGCCAAAGAAGAATCAGATAAACTTAATTGGAAGGAGGTAATTGGTATAAAAGGCTGATGCAAAAAGACGTTTTTTATTTGAAAGAATTTAAATACTCATTAAGATTAAACACTGTAGATGCTAATTGCCTATAATATACAAGAAACTTCATTTTTTTTTCTCCTTCTGTTTTCTCTTAATGCATTTTGGAGACTACAACTTTTCTTCTGAAGTCAAGAGTCTAGTGCTTCATTCTTGAAAGTGAAAATGGAGCACCTCCAACTGCTTCCTCGCCTAAGTACCAGTTTTAAGGGATATTATAAGGACTCTGGCAGGGTTCAGCACCCACGGCTCTCCGTATTGAAGGGCTTATTGATGAAGCTGCTGCTTTTGCTTTCACAGGTTCAACAAGTAGTGAGGCTGAGTGTGTATTGCACCCACTCCACACACAAACACAAATGCATATGCAGAAGACACAGGCGTAGATGGCTGCAGATGAAGTGCTGCCAGAACTCACAGACATAGATCCCCTTGCTCTTCTCCAACTGTTTGCAATTGAAATTTGCAAGTGAAAGTGCACACTCACTCTGTGTCTTCACAAGCTCATGCACATTCATGGATCTCTTGAACATCAGCCCAGGCTTCTGGGCCTTCTGCTTGCCAGCTAGTTCAGCTCAAAGTTTGCTAGTGAATTATACCCGTCCCCACACTACATTAGAGCAAAACCATAAATGCTCTGCCTGTGTCCTCTCTACCAGTGTCCTAGGAGCCTGTGGGCCCTATGACCCATGGACTAGCTCCAGCTGTTGGTGCTGTAATGCTCACCCCTTACAGTTGCTTTTATTGCACTCTACTTGCCACAGTTGCTGGCACCGTAGATAGAAGGGCCTTTTAACCCAAGATCTCTCTCCAGTTACTGGAACAAAYTTACTCACTCCAGTCCCCACCCAGTTGCTGAGACTGCTTGATCCATGACCGCTCCAATTAGACTCTCACCTCAGTTGCAAGCATCCATTGTCAATTCAAAATAATGCACTCTGCACTTTGTCAAATGGAGTTAGAATAGTGAACAGCCACATAGTTATAGAATCACTGAACATTCACTATCAAAATTACATGAATATCCTTGTCTTTATCATGGGCTGATGGGGAGAAGAATCTGATGTACAGATGTCTGCAGCAGTTTACCATTTTCCTCTCATGTTTTATTCCAAACAGTCACAATCAAATGAGATTTTCTAACATATGAAGAAATGAAAGCCTTGCTTCTCCAAGATAGATTTCAGCCCTTCTGTCTTTGGATGTCACTGCAGTGGACTTTTCCCAACTCTTCAATAAAATGTGGCTAAAGTCATCTGTCTTTTTAACGCTAATTGCTTGGTCTTTCTATGTCCTAGATTTTCAGATGTAGCGTAAGTCAATCTACTTACTGTCAGGATAGAGTGCCCTGAGTGCACTATTAGACTGCAGTAAGCCTGACAATTGCGCAGAAGGCTAGAGATGGAGGTATTGCTGGGATGGTTGCTGCTGTGTGGAGGGAAAGGGCAAGATGTAACAAGACAGCTGAAATTTGGAAGTGTTTGGGGAAGAAGGAATAGGTTGGTTGTGCAGTGCTGTCAGATGTGTTCATTTATTTCCCCAGAGTTGGGACAAACAAGGAGAAAAACAATTTACAGGGCTGAGCTGCTTCTACAGTTAGGATTAGAAGGGAGAAGTGACAGCTGTACATTATTGTTGCAAGTGTTGAGAGTGTGAGGGGCAAGATTTTTGGGAGGAGCTCTTAGCCATCACACCCTAACACCTTTGGTTGTAGCAGCAGCCTGTCCCTAACTTCAGCTGAGGTGTAATTTAGCTGCTCTGAGTCCTTGCTGCTGGAGCAGCTGCTCTTCATCTCTTTTAAGTACTTGTTGGATATGTGAAGATATTGAAGAATATTGTTATGCTATTTGGACTATGCTGAATTTCTTCTGCAGATCGCTTTAATTTGTTGTAATCCTTAATGGAAGATCCTAGGTAAAATCTCTTTCGATCTCTTTCACATGCTGAAAAGTTTGCCAGCTGTTTAAAGACAGCTTTTGACTTAAAGATAGTATTTCCAACTTGTATTATGATCCTGCGCAACTAGATCATAATCTCCCCTGGCAGCATATTTTAGTAGAATTCCTGCAGCCACATGGAACTCATCTGACACATTTTCTAACTATTACACTTCAGTGAGCTCCTTAGGGTCAGACATGCAATTTGAATGAGTGGCCCTTCAATTTCCAGATTTTTTCAATTTCCATCTCAAATATGAACAGACTGCTTGACATCACCCTGAGCAAGATACACATATACACATGCTCAGAGTTTGATTACTTCTCAGTCTGTTCTGAGTGTGTGGATCCCGTGACTTGTCATCTTTTTTCCCAGMATTTTGATTCTTATTATCTGGGTGCCGAGGGAGAAATAACTAGTTGGAGTTCCTCCAACTTTTAGACTATGGATGCATGAAAGCATACAGGATGGCAAACCTGTGGTCACTGCTGTGTGCTGCTGGTGAAAACGTGCTGAGCTCCCTGAAGGGTGCAGCATGTTTTAAATGAGATCCACATGTACAGAACATCTGAGATAGCTGCTGCTGCTGCTGCTGCTGCTACTACTACTGTCAAGTTTACTCACATTTTCATAGAGTCTCAGTGAACCTGCTGGTACTGAAGGGTCTCTGAACTGATGCTACTGCACTGGGACACAGCAGTAGAATTGAAGGCAAAGTGGTTTAAGAAAAAAAAAAAGTCTCTGTCTTGCAACAAAGTTAAATCAGCAATTGGAATGAAAGAAACTTGTTAGAATATTCACTGATTTATGCAGATGTGCGCCATTTTTGTACTTTCTCTTGCAGAGAGAGAAAATGTAACATGGATCTACAAGTTGTTTGTGACAAAAAGATACATATTTTGGAACGTACACTGAAAGCTGTACAATAGAGAACATAGGGAAAAATTGGCTGTTTGCTCTCCTATACAATTACCAGATGTTTGTCATGGTAACCCCTGAAAAGCTCTGACCAGAGGAGCATTCTTAGGAGGCTGGACAGCATGCCAGCTGGCAAAACTAAGCTTGCAATATCCAAAATAAGTTTAATCACCACCTGTTGTTACTTAAAAAGCCATGGGAAAAGGAAAAAAAAAWMCAAAAACAAAAAAACCCCAACACCTCAAATGGCTAAAGTAAGAGAACTCCTAGAATAAASTAAGATTATGCACATAGCATTTTTGCAGTTCTTTCCATCACTGTAGTGCCCAGAGATATCTGGAATTAATAGATTATATATATAAGAAAAATCTTCTAGATGATGTGGAAAGTTAATTTGGACTCACTGTTTTGAAATGTGTTCTTAAGGCAGGACTTTTTTTTTTTTTTTTTTTTTTTATTGTGTGGGTAATTATATTTATTCCAGAATGTACACACTGATTATGCTGGAAAATTTGAATAGGAAAACAACTAAGGAAATAGAATCCAGCATGTTAGTTATTACTGTGAACACACTAGCACAATAGAAAATGACATGTATGATGACAAAAGACTTTGTTGCATGTCTGTGGTATAGCAGAGAAAAGACCAGAAAGTGGAAGCCTAGGAGTCCTTTTATCTCTTTATCTGCATGTGTCTTCTGAATGCTTTAAGTTATCAATAGGAAAATGTCTATAAGTTATATCAAATTAACAGGGAAAGGGTTTCTCTTTGTGTTCAAAAGCCCAYGTGAGTTTGAAGATCGCATAGACCTTTGCTTTTAGGAAGTGGTTTGAGTGAAACACTGCATACTGGAACAGTTTTGAAACAGTGGGTATAAAGGATTCCTTTGTCATGTTCAGAGTCAGTGCTTCTACTAGTAAATGTTAAGAACAATGTATATAATGTAAATATATATCAAAAACGTTAGAAGACTTCTTGAATGGGGAGGCTGTGGAGCAAAACTAAAGTATGGGRAGCATGGGAGTCCTTTATGTTCTCTCTTAAGTTGTTTAGTTTCTGATACTTGAAGTTTTTTGAAAGTGCCAAATATGATGGACTGTTGCATCTGGGAGGAAACTGAGGTAGGTAGTTACTATTCTGTTTTTGTTACTCTATGAAGTTTGAATAGAGGCAGGATATTCAATGGGCAGAAAAAGGCTGTTGGTAATTAAAAGYCTATTATCATTAATGCAAGAACTATGTGCAAAGTGGAAGAATGTTTTTGAGTCTTAGAGCCTGTCTATTACTGTGATTATAGATTATTTCTCTTTGATGAATCACAATTTAATACAATTTTAAATTGTATTATTTACAACAGATTTAGGATAGAGCTATTCTGAGATAAAGGCTTTAATCTTGTATGGCTGTATGTTCAAAATGTCCTTGGAAAATAGTAGCTTTGATATGCAGAATTTTAGCCAAATATATACACTCCATGGGAGTTCAGATCAGGGCACTATAAAATGATGTATTTTGATGCATTCACAATTTTCTTGTTGATGCTTTACTAAATGATGTTGGATCTGTTCTGTCAAAAGTATGCCTCTTTTACCTGTCTGAATGATATCAATTTGACATTTGTAGAGATACAGAGGCTCTAATTCAGCAAGTTTAGTTTAGTGCAAATTAACGCACTATCCGTGATTTTACTGGCCAAGGAACTGTGTGTACTATAGGAGCTGGCCAGAGGTGTCACTGTTTCAAATTCTAGGACCCAGCACATGTAGTAATAAGAAGAATTTATGATAGCTGGATAAAGTGAAGCATATGCATTTGATTTGTATGAAGAAAGGCAGTGTGATAGCAATGCTTTGTCTTGGATATAAAAATAAAGCTCTGATATGAGGCGTGCATTTACAAAGAATTATGTAGTGGAAAATGAACTTTACATGCATGTAATAATATATAAGAATGACTTTTAAAATGGAATTTTAAATTTCTAAATATTACTTTTTTGTTCCTCTTGACTGTGTAGCTAAGCTATCATAATTCTTTACAGCCATTCTATTATCCTCAGCTATCAAAAAGCCTGTTCCACAGTGTTAATAAGATGCCTTGCAGTATTAACTTTAAAAGTAGATTATTACTTCTGTTGAATTTAAATGAACCCTTTCCTTTAGACTGTGTTAGCGCAGATAACTAACAAGTTATCTGCAATTATTTTTGTAGGTGGTTAGAATTATCAATGTGGAATCTCATTAATATATTACCATTCTTGAATTTAACAGATCCCATTAATTAGTGCRTGGTGTGGGAATGTAAATACAGCAGCAGCAGATATTTAATATCCAGATTTGTGACTAAGAGAAGCAAGCAATAATTATTTGTATTTGGATTCCATGTACTGGATCTGGATTGGGTGGGAAATGCTTGAGAGACATTTCTAAGCTTCGTGGAGGTGTTTGACTTTCATAACACCTGCCTCCGAACGCARTGGGGTTTTGGATTTTTTTGCTGAAATGGCTAACTAGGGGTGGCTTGATGGTAGGCATTGCAGCCCCTCATTTCTACATAGTAATACTCTGTCTGTCTTTGTAAACTAAGCAAGTCTGAAACATAGACTTGGGTGATGTTCGGAGATAGTTTTGTGTGTTCATTTTACTTTTCGTAAATGATCGTCAAAATCTTCTCAGAGATATTAAAGGCTTAATTTGTAGGTTTGACTTAGTGTATCCGCAGACTAAGAAAAATGAATGAGATTTCAAAAAGATTTTATGAAAAATGGAAAATRAAAAATAAGAAAGTGAAAATGAAAAATATGAGTGTAAGTATCTTACATTAATAAGACTTCTGGAAATTTCTTTGAAGGTGTGAACGTCGTTTTGAAGGACATATTAGCCGCTGCCATCCATGTGGAATTGCAGTATCTCCTTGTGGGCAGTTTATAGCCAGTGGATCAGATGACAAATCTGTAAGTAATGTTTTTGCTTATGTTTCCTCCTAAACTAMTGTAGCTACACACATTGTGAACCATCACTCTTTTCATATATTTTTCTTGGATTCTTCTTTACAGGCAAATTTGAGGTCTAGTGTGCTTTCAAAAACTTTTATCGTAACATATTCTTTTCTTGATCCTTGTTGTACGGTAGGATTTTGTGACTGGGCCGCTCCTACRATATGCATTTGAGTTCCTTGTAAGTAAACCTTTTTAGGACAGTTGGGCAGGACATCTGTTTAACTTTTGTCTAGGTCTTTCTAGGTGACTCATTAGGACTATGAGACAAGGCTTCTGGTTAGCTTCAAATTCAGAACAAGAGGAATTTGCTTTTGTGGCTAGTTTTGAAATACTGGTTATAATTCTATGTGGAGCTTAGAAGTTTTGTTGGCATTCATGCCTGGAAGTGCGGCAATAGCTAATATATTATTTTCATTTTCTTCATAAAATATATTCCTACAATTTCTGGTGATTTTATTTTCAAAATGTATTTTTCAGTACAGAAGAGAGGGGTTTTAATTGGTCTTTGAAGCAAAATGCATCTAATATTTTCTCAGTTTATGAAACATATAGGATGAATTTGTTAAGGTTGTTGATGAATAGTATAAAAAGAGATGCTGTTATAAGACCTATTTGCCTTTTCACTAAGGTTTTAGTTTGGAATCACTGCAGATATAAGAAAAGAAAGGAAAGAACATGATTTTGCTCTCACTGTGAAGTCTTGGCACATGCATGCACATCATGGGAAGCGGAATAGCTGGACTGCGTCCTACTCCAGTTGGCACATGGTCACTGGTGGGCACAGTGCCAGTCATCACTTTTTCGTATGGCTCCTGGGTTGGAATTTTGCAAGATTTTCATTGTAAGTCTGTAGAGGTCTTTAACTGTCCTTGATGCTGCCCCCTCAGGAAATGTGAGTCAGTTTCAGACTCCGCAAAATTTATGAAAAAACTTGCTGCAACCCTTCTGTTAGGACAGAATGAAATTTTGGGACATWTTAGGAATATTGTCTTTGCAATGTTGACATTGAATATACGTTTATTTTGGAAAAAAAAAGAAAAAAGAAAAGAAAATTGAACATGGCACTGACTAGTGCATTCATATTGTTAAACTAAGAAGGTCCTGACGAATGGACTGTTGTGAAACTGAATCAGTGTTAAGAATATCAAGTTGGCAAATAAGATTACAAATCATATTCTATGAGTGCAGCTTTTATCCATTCCCATGGACATTCATAAAAGTGCGTAATGTGGATAAAAGGCAACATCTTCAAATAATGAATTCTGCAAATAACTTATGTAACTTTCCACTGACCAACAACTGTATCTTCAATCATCTTGCACGTTAATTTATCAAATGCAATGCGTATAGCCCATGGTTAACAAACATGATTGATTTTAAAGCCAGAAGAGGCAGAACTGGAATATAATTGAGAGTCATTAATCTTAAACTGCCTTTTATATTTCACAATGTATTAAGTGTTTTTCAGAGAGAAATATGTGTTGGCCACATTGATTAATAGCAAAATCAAAACCACATTCCTACAGGGCACGAAACCAGAAAGCCGCAATATGCTATTGTAAGCAAAGACTTTCAGATTCAGTCCTCYTTTCATTATACTTACGAAGTATATGAGACCTATTTTATATTCGTAGAAGAGCTCCCTATAAGTTCTATTTGGCTGAAGTTTCAGCTTGTTTTCAACTACTTTTGAATTGCTTTTGGTATGTGTGTGTGTGTATGAGTATGGAAGTATGAGTATGTGTGTGTGTATGAGTATGGAAGTTCATGGGAGGAGGTGTTCTCCAAACTGCTTACTCCCACTCCTTTGAAAGAACTTTTGTCAAAAGCTCTGCAGACCCTGACAGTCTGATGAAAGCAGGTGCACACAGGATTCTGATTTTGAACTGTGATGATTTTTCTATAATCCATTATGATTACAAAAGTTTTTTTCCCCTAATATCCATTCCTGCAATAATATTAAATATTCTAAAGTTATATAGGTGGATTTTTTTTAGTTGAATACACATAAGATTTTRTTTTCTGACTATTTAACAAGTGGACAATTGGATATTTTTGAGTATTAAATAATAGTATTATGTTGGACAAATACTCTCTAATTGGATTTAGGTTTCCATTTTTGCTGTAGTCTGTACAAAAATATTTACGTAAACACTTGCTGAGCACTAAGAAAGTTTCAATCTAAAGACAATTCTAGAAAAGAAATCTCAATCTAAAATGACAAAAAATATTTGGAATGTGTGAAAAACTTCATGTTTTAAAATAGAAATATTTAAACTTTTCTGTGCTTCATGGAGTTTTAGTTAGCTATTTTACTTAGATCTAATTAGGTTCTTCATTTTTGTTTTTGAATAACTTGAGGGTCACTGAATAAATTCCAAGTTTCCAGAAATAATCTGAGGAATGCAGAAATTAAGTTTGGGGTCTTTAATTGTTTTCAGATTCATTCTTTCTATCTCTTTTTGAGCTGTAACTTTTAAGGAGCAAATTTTGACCCCAGTGCTGAAATGTAATTTGCTAACATAGAAATATGTGCTCTGTGGAGTCTCAAAGCCTGGAGATCTTGAAAGATCTGTGTATTTTCACAGTTCACACTGATTGACCCATCTTACAAAACCAGAGGTTTTTCAATATAAAAGTTAGCCGCAGCAGTTAAAAAAACAAAACAAACAAACAAAAAAAAACAAACAAAAACAACAACAAAAATGTATTATATAAAGTTAACTTCCATTTTACTTGTTATTTATCACAGTGTAGGGTTTTGCTTACAACAGTATTTTTGAAACACATTCTAAATGCAGGATTAAATTTGGGGCTCCCAACTCTGAAGAAACTGAAACAGTTAACAGTTGTTGCTAYAGTGGAGTAGCAAAAGTACTTGGAAAAGTTTAACAGTGATACTGCCTAGTATTTATTGGTCTACATCTTGTACTGAGGGTTACATTACAGAATGAAYTACATTACAGAATGTAACACAATTATATGGAGCAATGGTAGGAGCTGTCTGAAGTATTTTGGGTTGCGGTGTCACTGAACCCAATTAGGTTTTGCTGAAGTTATCATTTCTAAGTTTGTATTGTCCATATTTTTTAGTTCAGATTGACTTTAAAGTAAAACATCTGGAGAAAGTACTGCTGTGGAGGTGGGGAGGAGGGGAGAGAAATAGAGGACGGATTGCTTGGCAGGAAGAAATCCATGGCAGAGAATGAATGATGGAGACTGTGGTACTTCTCTGCCAGCTCTCTGCCTTTTGAAAGGAAGGCAGCTTTGGACTATTTCATAGTGTGAATGGCTTTTATGATCCTAGAAGGGAAGACACAGCTATTGCTTTCCTACTGATAGAAGCACGCCTCTATATTGTACTGTTACTGTGCTGTCTCTCTGGATATATCTTTGGCGATGGTTGAAAACCATAACCTTGGTAGATTACTTGATGAAGTGCGGAATTATGTGAGCATGAGCACACCTGCTCTTGCTTGCTTTGAGGGCTCCTCAGACTATCCCTTTGCGTGTGCTGCCTCTGTACTTTGGCCTTGGCTGGTATAAAGCTTTTACCAGACAGGCAGCCGAGAGCAGCGGCAGGTTTTCTGATGGCTGAAGTGTACATGACTGCCACCAAACCTCTCATTTCTAGTGGCCTGTCAGAACAGAACGGGATCAGGCTACAGTGTGTTACAGTGGTGAGTTTTAAGGTTAGTATTACATTTGAGAGCTGAGTGGAAGTTTATGAAATTGACTTTTTTGCTAGGAAAATTCATTGCAAAGTAAAAGGCCCATATTCAAATGTAGGCAAAACAGGAAGTCAGAGTGGATATGAATACCCACTTTTCATTTCAGTATGCCTACTTGTACGTATAGAAACAGCAGTGAGRTGCTAAAATGGGTGTGTATATATTTATATGCATAGTGCTTGTGTTTTAAAAATGTCTACTTTTTAGCATGTAGCTCTGACAACAATTGAATAATTTAGCTCTATTGCTACTATCTCCCTGACACCTATTAGCTGGCTGCATTATGCTCACAGACTTACTAAGGTGGAGAAATCCTTTGTAAAGAAATTCTATTTATGCTTAAAATGGAACAAGGATCTTCTGCCTCTTGTTTAAGCTTGCAGTATTTATGTCAGAGTAAACAGCAGTGCAGAAGCAGGTAGTGCAATTACTGGTACAGTTCATGCAGAAGAGAGTCACGGCAGCAGTCAGAAAAGAACCATTTGCAGAATGGCTGTGATCCAACCATCCTGCTTCGTAAGTGACTGCAGCTAGAGGTGAGGTAAGTTTTCCTAGAAGAAAAGCTTCAAGTAATAATTCTGCACTTTGCCAAACCCAACTATACTATAAAAGTAAAAACGAAACAGCCTAGGTGCAGTAGAGATTGGTGCTACATAAATACCACAGGCGGACAAATAAAACCTAACATATACGAGGCTTTGAAATTGGCTAATTAAGTAGAAACAAAATTTGGGAAAAATGTAAGTCGGAAATGTCTAAGGAAGGGAGGCTTACAAAATCCAAACTGAGTTATGGTTTAGATCTGTTTATATGACTTATTTTGTTTCTGGTAAGGAAAATCTGAAGTATGTTAGCTATAACTGCCAGAATACTGGTATATTAAGAACTAGCCCCTGCATCTTGAAAAATGACTGAGCTTTGTAATATTCACTGTTTTAATAATAAAGAGCATTATTAATTTTCACCGTTTCTTCTTTTGTGGTTATATGGAAAGAATTCAGGTGGAAACTGGGATTCCAGTACAGTGGGCAATTTCCTGCGAATCCCACAAAGAGAGTCTCCCCAGCAAATGGCACTGGAAGGGGAAGGAACTCTGGGGGCTTTATTGTACTCAGCATTTTTGGTGGCAGGCTTGAACAGACTTTAGTTTCCACGCTACCATGTGGGGAGTATATAAGATATCCCAAGTCTGAAGAATGTGAATTGTTGCTTAGGACATTTGTA